TGGCCGCTTTAAGTGACTGGTTTAGAGTAAATGGGCTCTCCTTGAACATGGACAAGACTCAAGTAGTTAATTTTCGATCAGATCATAGAAATAGTTTAAAACAGACCACTTTTACAAATCATCAGTTAATGTCTGAGGAGACAGTCAATTTTTTGGGTATTCATATAAACGAAAATCTTGACTGGCTTCCTCACATTGACAAACTACGGAAAAAACTTTCTTCAGCAATATTTTCTCTCAAAACAATTTCTCAAGTTACAGATACTAAAACTCAATTAACAGTTTATCATTCATATTTTTCATCATTAATGTCATACGGAATACTTGTCTGGGGAAATTCTTGCCATGGTAAGAAGATTTTTAGGCTTCAAAAGAAGGCACTTAGAATCATAGCTAAAGTGCCCCGAAGAAGTCCGTGCAAAGTCATCTTTCAGGCTTTTAGCGTTTTGACATTTTATGACCTGTATATTTTAGAAGCATTATTTTGGGTATTCAACAATTTGTCCATTTTCAGGGAGGGTCACACAAACCATAGGTATAACACTAGACATAAGAACCTAATTAAGCCCACTAGCCATAGATTATCACTATTTGAAGCATCACCTCAATATATTGGACCGAAATTGTATAACTTGATTCCTGATCATTTAAAAAACATTGCAAATCCAAAAAAGTTCAAACAAAAATGTAAAGAATGGTTATTGACAAAAAAATTTTATTCTTTAAATGAATTTTTAAGTGGAAATTGGGAGGGTTAAGTGTTGAAATTATTTTATTTGGATTTATTACTATTTATTTAGATTTAAGTATTATAATGCATTGACAAATGTCCTGTCATTTTATGATGTAATGGCATTCTGTAAATAAATAAAAATAAATAAATTGTAGCGCCTAGAGACGAAATGTCAATTTTTTAAGAGAATACATAAATTTGTTAATCACAGAGGATACGCGTCCGGTAACCAGACGTGGATTAGGCGTCCGGTAACCAGACGTGGATTAGGCGTCCGGTAGGGGGTCCCGGAACGCCATTACCACAATGATACGATGTTTAGCCATCAGTGTTCGTGGGGTAGTGGATAGAGTGCTTGGCTGATATGCGAGAGGTCCCCGGTTCGAAACCCATCGGTATCTTCAACTTTTTGGCACAGATTTTGCTTTGAATGTAATTTCTTCTTAACTGTACATCTTTTGTTAGAATTTTCGGCATTTATAATTTTATGTTATGAAGAGAATTAAACCTTCATTTGATTTTTTTACTATCAGCAAGTTTGGTTGGTTAGGTTAGGTTATGACAGTAACTGCCGGACGCCTAATCCACGTCCGGTTACCGGTCGCGTATCCTCTGCGTTTGTTAATACCTTACGAACAAATTCTTCTTCAGTTTCTATTTATCAGTAGATAGTAATGGGAATAAAATTCAATGTCAACAGTTGAAAAGCTTATTGCTAAGGTTATGTTCATTGACCAGAATTTGTTTGAATCAAAACTGAATATCATCAGATGGAGGCCATTTATATTACCTAATTTGTATTATTATTGTTAGTATCAACCCAGCTCTTGAAAAAAATGCCAAAATTCCTGCTTCCTGAGAGGGAGTGTAATTTACTCCCGAAATTCTGTATTGGTTGATAGGCCTACTTACAAGTAAGTAAGTATTAGTTAAAATGGAATTAGTTAATTAATTTATTAAATGTTTGTTAAATGTAATTTTTGTTGTTGTTATTTATGACGACTCTTTACAAGCGCAGAGTAAAGATAACCTTTCTGTATATCGGAAAATACAAAAGCTTATTGAATTACTACATAACTTTTTTACATTATACAAAATGTTTATAATTGTTGCAATAACTACGAATTTTAACAAACATAAAATAACACAAGAATATCCGGAGGAAAATAAGAACAGAAACACGCTTTATAATCTTGTAGCTAGTAAAAAACACTAATTTACCGATTCGATTACTCTAAAACAATCGAGCAATCGAGCCAACCGAGCGGTAAAAGTATCGATTTTACAGTTTCGATATTCGTCAACTAATTTGAGGTGAAAAAGTGCTCACCGTCTGACTTAGGGGAGGTACGATTGAGGCATTAGTTCAAAATTCCTCCGTGGACAGCGCTGTAGTAGGGAGCAATTTTGGCTATGAAGGTTTACTAATCGCACAAATAGTTCTGTTCATAAAATAAAATTATAAATGCCTCAAATTCAATTTTATAATTTTTTAATATAAAATTACTATCATAACCTAACCGAACTAACCAAACTTGCTGATAATGAAATAATATGAAAAAAGTTTATTAATAGAACAAATTATTCTGTTTATTATATAAAACTAGAAATTGCTCAATTAAAATTTTATAATGACTTAATAATAAAATAAAATTGTCATAACCGAACCAAACCAACCAAACTCTCTGATAATGAAAAAATCTAAGTCATAAAGTTAGTGCCACCAGCGGAATTCGAACCCGGGACTCTCAGCATATCAGCCCGGCTCGCTAATCACTAGACCACCGAGGCCGATGGCTACTAACCGTATTGTTAGGGTAACGGTGTTCCCTCAGCTAATGAGAAGCCCACAGCTGTCATGGTAAGCTCATCTATACCTCCCCTGAGTAGGGTAAGAGCTAGAGTTATTGGCACTACCATAGTTATTGGCACCTTTTTTCGGGTCTGACTTAGGGGAGGTACGAATGAGGCATTTAGTTCAAAATTCCTCCGCGAACAGCGCTGTAATAGAGAGCACTTTGTCAATGAAGGTTTACTATTCGCAAAAATAGTTCTGTTCATAAAATAAAATTATAAATGCCTCAAATTCAATTTTATAATTTTTTTAATTATAAAATTAAACTATCATAACCTAACCGAACTAACCAAACTTGCTGATAATTAAATAATATAAAAAAGATTAGTAATAGAAAAAATAATTATGTTTATTAAAAAAAACTAGAAATTGCTCCTTTAAAATTGTATAATGACTTAATAATAAAATTAAACTGTCATAACCGAACCAAACCAACCAAACTTGCTGATAATGAAAAAATCTGAGACAAAAAGTTAATGCAACCAGCGAGATTCGAACCCGGGACCTTTTGCACGCCAGCCCGGCACGCTAACCACTAGACCACCGAAGCCGTTGTCCACAAACCGTATTGTTACGGTAATAGCCGTTCCCTCAGCTAATAAGAAGCCCACAGCTGTCATCGTAGCCTCTTCCGTACCTCCCCTGAGTAAATACCCTTTTTTTCAAAGCCTCGTACACCTAAATGCAAAAGTCGGTGGAAGAGGGGAGTTAGTTGCTGAGATGCCCACATGAGTTCTCTGTACTTCAGTGTGTGTTTGGTTATTTCAGAGGCCATGCTAACCTGCACAGAAATTCTTTTTCAAATGCTTAGCCGATTTTTATTGATTCTTCACATTTCCTTAAGAATCTGACAAGGACTTAAATACCTGTTTATTGTTTCCTATTAAAACTGAACGTTAAAAATAACGTTTTCATTATTTCATTAGTATTAGGAAGGACTGATTTGTCTATTCCCGTCACCCATTTACCCATATACTTAAAATTACCTAATATATGAGGGTGCCAACAACTGTGTCTAAAATATGTAGTGATTTAGTTATTGGCACTACCTTGGCACTGCCAATAACTGTGGTAACTGGCATGCCAATAACTGTGGTAAATACACTAATGCCGATTGGCACTGGTAATTATATTGTGGTTATTGGCATGCCAATGACTGTAGTCACTGGTAACAGGTGACACTGCCAGTAACAGCATTTACTGTCATGGAAGTCTCTAAGTTATCGTAACATGAACATGGTTACACGAGTATATGCTATTAAAAAAAAATATTTAGGCCAATATACTTAATTTATATATACAGTATAAAGATACAAAGCTTCTCATAACTAATTTGTACCATATTAAAAAAGGGTAAACCAAAAACCGATCCATCATATTATGTTTAAAACCATTAAAATTCCGTCAAAAAGCCCCAATCAGGATCAAATACGTAACAAAGAGAATAAAAAAATAGACCTACAAAAGGTAAAATGTGAACGTTGTAATGAAATATTTCACAGGAAATAGTTTGATGGCATTGATTATGACGAACCAATACCAATTAATATGTATAAAGACAGTATTAAGTTCGGTAAAGTTGTTGCCAAAGAACTAAAACTAGGCCTACCATGAACAATTTTAAGGATTTTAATTTTACTTACTGTATAATTTTCATTGTTTCTTCTATATACTATAATATGATTAGGCATACATCACGTAAGACAACAAAGACCACCTTAGTACGCTTAAAAATGTAATATTTGTAGACTTTTTTATGGGTGCCAATAACTGTGCCAAGATGTGACAATAGCTATGGTTGATGGTGCCAATAACTATGGTTTTTGTATTTTTTAACATTTTAATTTTTTAATTAACTTAAGTAATTATATATATATTTTCTTTATACATCTCAGTATTCTCAGTACATTCTGCTACCTGATTAAAAAAACGAAGATATTAAAAAAAGTATTGCAAAGGAGCTGTGGTAGATTTCTCCGAAGCTTACCGTTAAGGTGCCAATAACTGTAGCATTTACCCTAAATACCCGATAGGATCGTTACCTTACTACAAACCAACACCTTGGTAAATGGTAATTGAGTTGTTGGTTGTTGTTGTTGGTAGTTTAACAGTATTAGCTGCAGCTGTCGCGATTTCGAATCATTAATATCGTTGGTAAGATAATGGTATAACCTAAAGTTAGCTAAGATTATCTCTACTGTAGGTGACTTGGGTAATTTTTATGTCATCATAGGGGTGTAAAAGAGAAATACAGTGATTTGATTTCGATTTGCTTGTGAACTGTAATTCAACACTACAATTGGTTTATTTGATAATGCAGCAGGGGCTGGATTATATTCAGCTAGAGAGTAATACTCTATGGTCCCAAGTATTTTTTTTTTAATTTCTCCCCCTATACCATACCATTACACTATGAATGATAGTATTAAAGAGATTGTTTTTGTTAGACTTTCGAGTTAAGAGTTTTGAGTGGAAGTTTTGAGTGGATATATTCGTTTTGGGTCCTCCTCCTGAACCCAAAAAGTGGTTTTTGATTTTCGATATTTATGAAATTTGGTATGTAACTTAGGCAGCACTAATCCATGGTATCTCCAGGCGTTAATTTTTTATTTTTTTATTATTTTTTTTATTATTAATAGTGATTTTCCAAAATAAACCCATAAAATACAGGAAAAATTAGATTTTTTTTAAATGGCCCAAATGATTTTGATAAAAAAATAGTAAATATGATAAGTATAACTTAGTCCTTCAAGCTCTGAAAAAATGGTACAAATCCCATATCCGTTAAAAAAAAAGTTCTTCAAAAGTTATCAGAACTTATGTTAGGGTATTTTCCAATTAAAAACCATAAAATAAGAGAAAATTGGATAAAAAAAAATTATTTTTGATTGAAATTATAGTATTTGATGGTCCTTATTCCTTATGATCCTTTTTCTTAACAACACAGTGCAATACCCCATCGGTGTAAAAGTTACGGTTCAAAAGTTATTTATGTTATTTTCCTGTAAAACCCATAAAAAACGGAAAAATTAAATTTTTGAAAAAAAACCATTCTGATTGAAATGTGTCTGTTATGGTCCTTATAGTGCCAAACAAAATATTGGAACTCCTGATTTTTGTTAAAATTAAGGTTCAAAAGTTAATGAAAATTTTGTGATTTTACCTATCATTGTTACTCTTATCGCTTACCCATGATAAAGGTTTTTGACAAGCTAATGGGAGAAAGTATGTGTCAGATTGCTGATACGGTTTATTTTGTTTTTTGTAATATTATGAGTTAAGTTGATGGGAATTCATAAAAAAACATGTTTTGGTATGGAACTGAGTCTTACTAACAATACAATCTAAAAATAAGTCTATAGGCTATAATGGAACAGCATATTAAATGTTTTACTATCTTAAATCCATTTTATAGACACTTGTTTTCGATTGGAGAAGTATTTATATAATGATTTATTAAGATTCCTGGAATATTTTGAAATTTGTTTTTCTTTTCTATGTATCCTTCATTCTAACCCTTTTATAATTCCTCTCCACCCTTCACCATCTTTCATTCCTTCCCCCTATTTTACTATTAGACAAGAACCATTAATAATTTATACTTACCGGTACCCAATCATAATTCTATTGTACTTTTCCCTCTATAAATTGTTTTGTATTTTCAGAAACAAGTTCTAAATAAAACCATATTGCCGCATTATGTTTGTAATTGAAAATTCCATTTTAAAATTTGTATGCCAGCAAAATTTCAGCACTGGATAAAGTTCATATTTTTTAAATCATTTATATACTTAAAAAATGTGTGGTAATGTCAATGTGATATATTTGTTGCAGCTATCTAAAACCACAGTAAAATAATTAAAAAAATATCTTGTTCTAGGAAATTGAAACTTCAATGACTGTGGCCAAGATCGTGATTGTTTTTATAGTTAATTTCTACATTTGTATTTCCATTGATGCAAGAAAACCTAACATTGTTTTAGTCTTGACTGATGATCAAGATCTTCTTGTAGGAGGTTTGGTGAGTGGTTTTATGAATCATTAATACCTATCACAAAGCAAAATAAGTGCTTTTGAAATAAATTTTACATCAGTCACTATTTAATTAAGAGCAACAATTTAACACAATTATTAGCCTATATCTTTATGTACAAGAAGTAAATTCTAATTGTTGCCTTTAATTTCCTTATGTAAATCTCTTCCTGGTGGTGTGTGTTCAATATAGTTGCCTATATTGAATGAATTTTATGTAGAGTATTATGAAGGTGTTAAGAATTAGAAATAGGTAAGGTATCAGTTATGAGGACTTGGAAGTGCCAATATTTCTGTTCTTTATAAAATGGAAAATGTACTTGTAACACTAATGAGATAAGGTGGAATTATCAAGAGGTCTTATCTTCCTTGCACTTACCTACCTATCTCGCAAGTATACTGCAACATAAAATTTCCGTAAGTTTTCTTACAAAACAAATTTAAAACATAGGCCTACTGAAAACAGGAGGGAAAATATTTGAAAGTAGCCTACTGTGTTTTTTATTTCTTCTGATCACATTTTAATCTGGAGACAAGTTGCTGTTATCTTCACTTGAAAAATTTTTGCACCAGATATTGAAAAACCTTTTCATAAGGGGAGGTCTTTAAACTCCAAAGAATCTGAGCTATAGTAATACCAGAAACAAAAGAACCCTGGGCCATTTCGAGCCGCGCAGGTTTGAGTGGTACGGCACACCTACCGGCGCGAACCACGTGTTCTTTTCGTTTCTGCGCAGGTTGTTTTGTTCGTGGTATGTCTATATGTTCAACTTGAACCACAGTTGAATACACTAAACATGATCAAGATACCAATTTCCTTCCTTCTTTCCGTCGTGAACTTTTACCAGAAGAAATTGGATTGTTCATGACAAAAATTTAAACAACACTTCATATATAAAACATTGGATATGAAACATTTAACATTAATATTTATAAGGTACAAATGGCAAACGGTGAGAGAGTTGGCAAAAAATCCATCAATGGAATAAAAAGCCATATCTTTTAGCCAATGCACTAAAACATGCTCAAACAGTTCTTTTTAAGTAGCCTAACATCACTCAAAAGTCTGTTGATCATCTTCATTGCCAAGTCCGGTAACGGGAAGTGCTTTGAAGTCATCACCAGCCTGCTTTGGACTCATCAAGATTTCACCTCCTACTGAGAGAGTGGGTTTCCGCGAACATTAGGACACCCCCCTCAACATTTAGGTCGTTGATGTGTAAGATGAACAGTAGTAGGGGACCCAGCACTGAGCCTTGCGGCACCCCATAGGGCACCAGTTGAGTAGCCGATGTCAAGTCGTATTATATTTTTAAAAAACTCCAAAAGTTCTTTTTTTCATGATTTTAAAAATTACTTTGCTAGAGATCAGAAAGTATTGATATAGGCCTATAGCTAATTTATTCCGGGTCTCCTTTTTTAAAGATAGGAACAGTTTTTGAATTCTTCAGTGTAAAAAATGTTAAAACATTTGATGCAGCATATCTTATAATATCATCCAAATAACTAGACATAAATTTCTTTAAAACTATAAATTTTACTTCTAAAATCCATTTATCTTTCAATGACTTAACTAAGACTTGTATTTTATCACAGTAAAATCTATTACTTTGACACTCTGACTGCAAATAAAATATAAAAAAAAACTTGTAGGCAAACCTGATTAAACAAATAAAATTTATTGAATATTTATAAAGAATACTTGTTCAGTAAAAAAAATATATATAAACTCAGCAGGAAGTCGTCATCAAGTCATGGAATGCCGGTCACCCATAAGCACAGAGGATGTTACTGCCATGAGGGATGTCGGTATTCCATGAACATGAACATATACTGTTGAAATCATTCACTAACTCACTGATTCAAAACACTCTAAAAAGTTTGGTATCCAGGGCCGTCCCTAGGGTTGGCGGTTCTCTGGAGCAAACGTAGTGGTGGCGCCCCCTCTCCCCCAGCAGTAATAGTCGCAGTCGCATAATTTAATACTATGTTAATACAAATAGCCGCTGCTCGGTGCCCCCCTCTTCAAACGACCCTGGTGGTATCTAACTATTATATGCCAAAATTAAGTACTATAGTACCATACAAGAAAAACGCCCTTTTTATTTAAGTTATGGTTAGTTTTAACAATATAATTTAATGTTATAACGCCATTCTGGTGCAACATGTTGTACTCCTGAATAAAGATTATATGACTATGACTATGACACACTCTTTGTGCCCTACACACATGAAAAAATAATGGTGTGGCTGACAGGCAAAGTACAACGGATTGTGCAACGCAAAGTGAGAAAAATCTTTCAAGTGCAAGAAATATTGCTCCCTCCGACCGAGCCTGAGCTCTTGTTATTATAGGCGGGTTGGTTGGGAAGGGGGCATCTTTCGAGCATGTTCCGTGGGACCACTATTTGGAAGCCGGTGGCCCTCTTACAGTCATGTGTTAATGCTAATATAAATATTTACATTATTTTCCAGACTCCAGTAAAGCAAGTGCAACAGTTAATAGCAAACCAAGGAGCTACTTTCACAAACGCTGTGAGTTCTTTTCTTTTCAATTATAAGCCTAAACCAGTCATAATTTTACATTGTACATAAGCAACTGTAGTTAATTTATAAGATGTTTTATCATAATATATTAAAATAATGTGTTTTTTCTTTCTTAAATTCAAATAGAAATACTGTCTACTTGAAAATATTTTCTTCCTCTCTTTTGCTCAATGTGCGACAATGTGTTTAGTATTTACCTTACATAGTAGTGTTTTGACTAATACCATACGGTACCACAGATGAAGTAGTGCTTATTTTTATATTCTGTGTCAATACATAGTTTTGTTTCCAATTATTGGCTTTATTTGTAGGCCTACTAAGAGTAAAAATTTTGAAACGGATGTTTTAAATGTCCCTGGCCTTTTACTTCGTAGATAGGTACTGTATTTGTAGTAGGCTATATTATTATGTGTTTTAATATTTTTTTGGGACGGGGGCAACATGTTACACACATTTATTTTGTTTTAAATAGATTTTAGGTATTTTTTTGTATTTTTAAAGTCTAGAAATTCACGACTATCATGTGTCCCAAGGGTACATTTTTCAACTTTCACGCTGTTTTTAGACTAATTATTCATGCCGAAATATATAATGCCATATTTTTATGTCATCAATAGTTATTAAACCTACAAAAAAGGAGCATATAATAATTTAGTTTTCATTGCGAACTAACTGCCATGACAAAATAAGTCTGTTCCTCGATTTGACGTCCCGACCATAATGGCAAAATTTGCAACTTTGGAACACGACAATGGCAAGCCTGGCGGCGATAGCGTCAGTTGGTTTTAGAGACTGGTTCGGGATGTGCGTTAGTTTTGTTGTACTGGTGGTTTTGCAGTAAAAAAAGGAAGTACAAGATTAATAAAGGTAAATTTGTGGTTTTTGTAATTTTGGTGTTTCCACAACCGTACATAGTAATTTGATGAAGTAGACATGGTGTTAATTTTTTTTGATATTATATTGTAGTAATTGTTGCAATTATTGCTACATTAACCTACAAATCCAATTTGTCTCCTCAAACATGAGATGTAGGGCTACCACCAGAAAAGAGCCAAATAATACTTGATGTCATGACCGTGGTATTACGACCATCACAGGTTTTTTCACGACCCAATTAGCCTTATCGGTTGTACTGTATTATGGTCGTTAAAATAAATTTTAATATCATTGTAAATTGCACAGTTTAGTTTAATTGCAACAAAAATGTTTCTTATACCAGTACAATTAATTGAAGGATGTAAAAAAAATAGGATTTTGAACTATGTTTACATTAACAGGTATTTTTATTGCCTTATATAAGAATTAGACCTTCAGCAACTCTCATTTTATAAACATTTATTTAAAAAAGTTACATTGTGTGTCCAAGGTCTAATCCTGCAAGGTCTAAAACAGTATCAGTGGATGAGTTTTTTGCATTGACTGTACTCTTAGACCTTCCGGGACTTGGACCTTCGACACACTACCAGATTAGACCCTCAGCAACAAGTACAAACTGCAAAAAGTGTGTCGAAGGTCTAATTAGACCTTCCGGGAATTAGACCTTCCGGGAATTAGACCTTCAGCAACTGATCCGGAATATAATGCATGGTGGGCCCAATATGGCATTTACAAGAGAACCTAGAATAGACATAGATTGCAGATTATGACTGCATGAATACATGCATGAACAGGCAAAATAAATCCTTGTTTTGCCAATAATCCCCTAGTGCAGAGTTTTCCAAACTGTTTCACTGGACAACACACACACTTCACAAGACAAACATATTTTTTGGTAACGTGGAGGAGATCTTTTAGGGATGGACAGGCCCCGAAGTGAGAATGATCATATATTCCCGATCTTTTGGGAAGATTACTTTTAATTGGGGATTTTATCAGGGCAAAATTTGTTCCAACTGTCAGAAATTTTTTCCTGATCACAGGTAAAATGATGATGTCTTCGTAGTTGCAGAAAATAACATCCCTGATTTTGCCGCTATTGCGATAGAAAATGGTATTATATATCTTCGCAATCGCGATATATGTTCACGATACCGCCACTAGGGCAGGTGACAATGATGTTATCCCTATCATAACAGTAGACAACGACAGTGCTGAAGTGTAGGAGTCCCGGCCACTGGTCGCAAATCCAAGGGCTATAAGTTGAATTTGTTTGTCCTTATTGGGAATTGCAAGACACTAAAAATTGACAAAAATTGAACGTGATTACACCTCTGGAATGCCTGAAAACGCAAGTTTGGAGTTAAATTTTTTTCCAAATTTTCCGGGGGAGGGCCCCCAGACATCCCCGCATGAGTGCAGACTTAGAACTCATCCATCCCCCCCCCAAAGCCATGTTCTAGTTACGCCACTGAAGCACACTATGTAGGGGCCTGTTACAAATCATACAATTCAGACCTCTTATAGGTCACTGTGGTTCACTCAAAATAAATACATTAATATTATTGTTTTTATGTGAACCTACAATGCTATTTTTAGATGTATTAATACATATCTACTTAATTGTCAGCATCACTGTTGTCTAGCCACATCCATTGTAAAATGGAAATTACTGCACTGGATAAGATAAAAATTCAATAGACCTAATAAAATAGTTCAATGTATGTTATATTTTGTCAGTTTGTTAGCACTCCAATATGCTGTCCAAGCCGAAGCACGATTCTGACTGGTTTGTACCAACATAACCACAGAGTGGTAAACAACTCTCTCAGTGGCGGCTGCAGCGGAGAGTCTTGGCAGCAACATCTTGAGCCATACAACTTCGGAACAACACTACAAGACAATGGATACACAACTTTCTACGCTGGCAAATACCTGAACACAGTTGGTATTTACTCTGTAACCTCCAAATTATTACAAATAATTTAGATTAAAATTATTGTAAGGAGTTTCATAAAGGAAGATTTCCAGATCAAAGATAGTTTTACATAGGTATTTAATTATTTATTTTATATTATGTTATTAACTCATAAAATTACAGGACAATCTTGAAAATTGTTATACTTGAAACTAAATAATGCTTTTCAAAACTTAACAAGAAATTTCTCCCAACATCTATTTAAATATTAATTGAAAAAGTAAAAAGTCTTATTGCTTAGCATCCAGTCTTTACATTTTGTTAAGATTTAATGGAATTTGGATTTTTAAAAACAATCCAGGAAAATAATTTTGAACTAATCCATAAAAATAATATATAGACATGTCTCTTAATTGTATGTCTTATGTTTAAAAACATAGTCTTAACACATTTGGTGCGGTGAAAATATCAGTGGTTGCCCCCAGGGCCTGTATTTTTTATCATAAAATCTTACCTTTTGTTACCAGAAGTGAGGATCCAGGTTGGAAATGGTGTTTTGAGCATTAAAATGGCTTCCAAAATCGCTGGCCACCGGTGACCGGGTCAGCTCGCGCGGTGAAATCTATAGTAAATACCCCTGCGGCAGCAAACCTGCAGACTAAGCAAATTTCTATTTGCCCGAATTGATCGAGTACCTAGGTTTGCTGCTACAGGGAGGCTTCCCCGAGCATAAAGTGTGGTTTTTAGTAAAATATTAGTAGCTTACTATAAAATAAATAAATTTTTAAGTAAATTTGTAAATAAGTTTGATCAAAATATTTCCATAAACAAGCAAACTACAACATTTTACAATATTCTCCATAGAATAACATGGAAATTTTAAATTTGCAATTTTTTGAATTTTATCCGTAACTATAACTGTAAAAAAACTCTGTGGTATACTAAATTATTTGTTTTTTTAAGCCTCAGAGATAAATTGAGGAATTTTGTGGTTTGAGGGTCAAAAATGAGAAAACCCATTTTTTTCCATAAAACCCCCCGTAAACCCCTGTTCCCATGGTCCGACCATGCTGGTTCGCAAACTCATTCAAGTTTATCCTGTCTTACACCTTCAAACCAAATTTTATCAAAATCGGAGAAAAATTACTCAAGTTATCGCATTCTTGGACGTATATATATTTATATATATATATAAATTTGAACGAAAACTGTTGTTGGCCTCTAGGGACATCAAAATTAAAAAGTATATCGGTCCCGGCTTCAGGTCTTACCGTGCCACCTACGGTAATAACTACTTCCCTATAGGGAAATTCGCTTAACACGTTCACTGCTAATGACGCACTTGTGCGTCATAAGTATATTAGCAGATATATAATACATGATGTATATAATTACATAATATATTTTAATCCACAATTTATAGTAAAAAATTTATTTAATTAAAGATATATTGTCACTCAATTAACATGATCATGTTAATGTTTATGTTTTTTAGCCATTTATAAAAGTATTACATATCATTAGCAGTGAAAAAAAAACACACTAAAAATGTTAATTTGATATTTATTATTTACAACCCCTTCCTCCCTCCCAGCTATTGTTTTTACTTTCTCCCCCCTATTTTGATTAAATTTGGCATGTAGAATTTGTGATGAAAATCCATGGTATCTTCGGATGTTTTTTTAAATTTTTTTGAAATTTTGATTTTTAATGTTTGATTTTCCCATTAAACCCATAAAATAACGGAAAAATAGAATTTTCTCAAAAATGGCCTGAACGATTTTGATAAACATTAGGTATGTTGTAGCCCTTTAAATTCTGAACAAAATGGTAGGACTCCCATTTCTGTAAAAATTACGGTTCAATAGTTATTGTATAAATTATGTTATTTTCCCATAAAAACCCCACAAAATAACGAAAAATAGGATTTTAGGAAAAAAGCCGGTTTTGATTTAACTTAGTATGTTATTGTGATATATTTTAAAGTTATATGCACTAGCAGTAAGTAGTGCTATTTAGTTTGTGTGTGTGGCTGCACTGCCAACGCAATGACGTCACGGCTGGTGTCTCTGAACCGCTCTCAGTCTTCGTTATCACTACAGGTTAGTCGCAGTATATTTCTTATGTGCGGTTCTGTTAACTTTGTAGTAATCCGATATTATACTAGCGCAGTCGGTGAAAATGTCGAGTGTGGGACGAATGGGAGAATTTAATCCCAGTGAAGAAGATATTTCGTCATATTTGTTGCGTTTGAAACATTATTTTATTGCGAATGATGTCAAGGCCACGAGCAAGGTTTCTGTTCTAATCACCGTGTTAGGTCCTAAAGTGCTCGCAGTGTTACGGGATGTAGTTTCCCCTGAAAAAGTGGACGAATTAGATTTTGATAAACTCGTTAAAGTACTGGAACAACATTTTTCACCCAAACGTTTAATAGTGGTAGAGCGTTATTTGTTCAATTCCCGCTCGCAGAGGTCTGGTGAAAGCATCTCAGATTTTGTGGTTGCGATAAAACATCTTTCGGCTTCTTGTCAATTTGGAACATTCCTAAAGGACGCTTTAAGAGATAGGCTAATCTCGGGAATTTCCAATGAACAAATTCGGCAAAAGTTATTGTCGGAGGAAAAAGATTTTGATAAAACTTTAGCGTTGGCGCTCACGTTTGAACAGGCAGACAAGCACACAAACATGTTTCTCAGCAAACAGGAAACTTTTCAGGATGTGAACAAGTTTCATGTTAGGAAAACCACGTGGCCTAGGGGTAGTAAAATGAAAGAAAGTGAAGGTGCTACGAAATTTTTTAAGTGTTACAGGTGCTTGAAGACCGACCATAAGGCTAACAATTGCCCATATGATAAATATAAATGTCATATATGTTCAAAAGTGGGTCACCTAGGAAAGGCATGCAAGGCTAAGGATAGAGGTAGTAAAACTACTGGAGGTAGGTTGCAAGGACTTGATCTTTCCTGCTCTAATGGAAGTGACATTTTACTATTTTGGTAAAAAATATAAAAAAAATAACCGAGAGAATTGTTGGTGATTGAACACCATAATTTAAAGTACCTATGTTAGTAAAATGGTTACAAAATGTAAAGTCGGCTTGTAAATTATTTGTTATCGGGATTAGATTGATCTCAAGTCTCAAAATCTTAATACAGATGTACCTCAAGACTATTGGCCAAGGCTAAAACTACTATACTGTATGCATCGTGGTGTAATGGTATCCATTCTAGTGATATACTGATAGCAATACTACAATTAATTAGTATAATATGCCATTTATAACATGTTCCAGTATGGTTACAAGGCGGCAGGTGGAACCAAACACGTGCCGAAGGGTTGGCACTGGTGGCTCGGTCTAGTTGGCAATTCTCGCTACTACAACTATACCTTATCTATTAATGGCACGGCTCAACATTTTACTGATCAATACCTAACTAATGTTATTGTAAGTATAGACTGTAATATATTTTATATGGTAAATAATTTTCTCTTCTGCATTCCCAAACTGACCAATTATTGATTACTTTAAGTTTAACAAATATGGAAACCAAAATCAATAAATAAAGGGTGATTTTTTTATTGGTGCGGTTTTTAAAACTAAATAAAAAATGAAAAATAACCTGCATTGACATAAAAATGCATTTATTTGAACTACAGTGTCATGACATTAACGTTTAAAAGTGATTTCTGGCATATGGGCTCCATTCCGTTCGCGTAGAAAGCCCAATCGAGAAGTCCAATTTTCGAATACTCTTTCCAGCAGCTGTGGTTGAATTCCGCCAATAACTCGAAGAATGTTAGCTTCCAAGTCATTTAAAGTTTCAACGCTATCGGGCAATGTTACGGGACTTTTTCGTTCCTCAGCTAAACGAACTTGAAGTGGATTTAGAAAATGTCTGGTTCCAACAAGACGGCGCGACGTGCCACACTTCAAACGACACAATTGGCCTCTTGGCAGAAACATTTGGTGAACGTATCATCTCATTTAGAGGTAGTGTCAACTGGCCCCCACGGTCGTGTGATATCACGCCAACAGACTTCTTTCTGTGGGGATATGGTAAGTCTCATGTATACGCTGACAAGCCACAAACTTTAAATGACTTGGAAGCTAACATTCGTCGAGTTATTGGCGGATTTCAACCACAGCTGCTGGAAATAGTATTTGAAAATTGGACTTCTCGATTGGGCTTTCTACGCGAACGGAATGGAGCCCATATGCCAGAAATAATTTTAAAACGTTAATGTCATGACACTAGTTCAAATAAATGCATTTTTATGTCAATGCAGGTTGTTTTTCATTTTTTTAATTAGTTTTAAAAACCGCACCAATAAAAAAATCACCCTATACATACAGGGTGACAATTAATTAAGTCTTAGGACGACTTTATAACTTTAAAACAAATACCCCCGCCGTAGCAAACCTGATTCCCTATTTAAATATAATTAGTTTAACGAGTACTTAAATTTGCTGCAACAGGAAAGGTAAAAGTGTTTTTTTTTTTTTTTTGTACAATGTTAATAATTTAGTAATGACTATAATAATGGTACAATACCTCGTCAAGTAATCCAAATGTTGATTGAGGTTAACAACCTACATGTTTCGCCGTAAATACGGCATCGTCAGGGTTACAAAAACGAAGACATCGATGTCACACGCACACAATAAATACACAAATACGAACATTTAATTATGGAAAGACAAAGTAAACATTTAATTGACATTGATAGGCCTATCACACGCACACAACACGGACGGTCCCGGTGCAGGTAGTAGAACTCTATCTAGTCACAGGATGTGTCCCTAGATTCATCCCTTCATCCCTAAACCTGGTAAGGCTAGTTACACATATCCTAAGTCCTTCCGTCCCATCTCTCTGTCCTCCTTCCTGTTGAAGACACTAGAGAAACTGGTGCTCAGGAATATGGGAGACATAGTCCTCAGAGTCAATCCCCTACATAGCCATCAGCATGCCTACACTCCAGGAATATCCTGTGACTCTGCCCTACATCACCTGGTAAGCAGAATCGACAAGGCGTTTGAGTTCAAGGGATTGCCCTTGGGGCGTTCCTTGACATCCAGGGTGCATTTGACAACACTGAAACCCAGGCTGTCATCAATGCTGCCAGAGCTCGAGGATTCCATGAGGTGGTGTGCAGGTGGGTAGAATCTCTTCTTAGGAAGAGGAAGTGTAAGACTCTCTCTTTACAATAAGGTTCTGGAGGCGAGGACCACACGAGGGTGTCCACAGGGTGGTCTACCCTCTCCTTTTCTCTGGAACTTTGTTGTGGACGACTTAATTAGATCTCTCAGTGACAGTGGTGTATTCGATTAAGGATACGCTGACGACATTGTGATACTGGTAATGGGTTAATTCAACAACACGGTCTCCGACCTCATGAACACAGCTTTGATGTCAGTTGGACAGTGGTGCACAGAGGCCTTTCTATCAACCCTTCCAAAGTGGTGGTTATCCCCTTCACCAGGAGGCGCGATCTAAATGGCATAGGACCTCTGAGACTACAAGACACAGTGCTTGAAATGCAGAATCAGGTAAAGTACCTGGGTGTGGTATTAGACCTAAAGCTGCAATGGGGACCACAACTCCAAAAGGTCATTGATCGAGGTAAGTGGTTACTCATGGCATGCAGACGGATAGTGGGAGGAACCTGGGGGCTCAAGCCGGGGCTCATGCACTGGCTGTTTGCCTCCGTGGTAAGGCCTGACATGACATACGGCTCACTCGTGTAGTGGCCCAAGATGGACTCGGTGTCGGCGATGAGAGATCTGGCTGTCGTCCAAAGACTCGCCTGTCTCATCATCACGGGCGCAATGAGCAGCTGGAATGCCTACAGACTCCAGTGCGAAAACCTTTGGTTGGATGTTGGAGGATCCCGAGGTCACTCTCGGATCACCCAGGTGGTAAGAGGGGAGGTACTGGACATGCCCTCGGACCCCATGCCGACTCAATTCTTCTTTGCCAGGCCATTCACCGTCCTCCTTCCATCCAGGGATGAGTGGATGTCGGGTGGGAATTCTCTTCCACAAGGCGTTCTTGAATGGTATACTGATGGTTCAAAGGTAAGAAGTGGGACAAGGGCTGGAATTCATGGAGTGCAGAACGGGGTGGACATTTGTCTTCCTATGGGCACTCACCCAACTGTGTTCCAGGCCGAAATGACTGTGATAATGGAATGTGCTTGGGAAAACCTGAGGCTAGGCTTCAGGGACATCAACATTTCCATTTTTACAGACAGCCAGGCTGCGCTCAAAGCACTTGACTCCTACGAATTCAATTCCAAGGTGGTCTTGGACCACCTTTCTGTATTATGCAACCTGGGCAGGCGCAACAAGGTAACACTGTGTTGGGTTCCTGTGCACTCAGGGATAGAAGGGAACGAGGTGGCTGACAGGCTATTAAATATTGCATCAGCCTCAGACTTCGTGAGACCACAGCCTTTCTGTGGAATCTCTCGTGGGCATGCATGTCACTCAGTCATGTCATGGGCTCAGGAGGAACACAGGAAAAGATGGTTTAGGCTTCAGCACCAAAGGGTAAGTAAGCTCACTCTCTTCTCCCCTTCCCAGACAGTCGCCTCCAATGCTCTACGTTTAGACAGGAGGCAACTCAGACAGATCATAGGAATGGTCACTGGCCATGGCTTCCTGAAATTGCACCTGCGTGTAGGAAATGTGGGCAGTCAGAGGAGACTGCAGATCACCTACTCCATGATTGCACAGCTCCGAACGAGATAAGGGACAGTACTCTTGGAGCAATGACAAGGAGCAGACACCTTCCTCAGGAGGAGTTCATAGACAGAATGCTGAAGTTCATTAAGCAACTCAGGTATGACGGGCTCTGAAATACCATGTGGGGAGCGCAAAAAGCCCATCAGTGGCTGACGTGCAACAGGACAAGGTCCGCCCCTACAGAATCAATCAATCAATGGGGGACGGCCTATGGGGCCTGTCATTTTTTACTTGATTGTCCATTTGAGGTCTGATTTGCGGAATCGTTTTTAATTCAACAAGACCTTTAATTTGATGCACATATCAACCTATGCTTACCATTAAGATTGTCAACTTACTCCCTATGCCCCCTCGTGGGTGACATGTACACAAAAATTTTGACGAAAACAATTCTTTCTCCAAAGTAAAAAGTAGCTTACTACTAGCAGTAACGATTTGCCAAATTTGGTAATGATATCTCAGTATTAATAAAGTATTAATAAAACTGTTGATTGCCGTCCCGGGTTGGGTAGCATTTCGAGTGGCTTTTCATGGTTACTTCAAAGAACAGCATTTGACTCAATAAGCTGTTAGGGCAGTGCCCTAGGAGAATATTAAAATAAAAGATGAGTAATCCTGTGGTTATATTGGCTCTATTATTGGAAAAAAAATCTGCTCAATTGGTCAAGTAGTTTTCATATTGACATACTCCAAACATTCATATCTATAATATTAGTCCCTTCCATCCAAGTCATAGACTTGATCAGTAATGCACTAAAGTCACTAAAGTTACACTAAAGTTATTCCAATTACACTCTACTCCGTATCCAGACATTATTTTTGGTGGAAACAAACACGATACATACTTTTTTATAAAAACTTGGGAAAAAATTACATTAATAAGTCGATGAATTATACACTTAAAAATAAAATTAACCTATTCGCACAATACCACAACAATTAAGTATTTGCCAGTTTTCATTTTGCATCAGAACTTTTTGTTACAGCTTTGTTTAAATTAGCTGTTATTCAGTGGCGTCATTTCACCAAATTCTTGGGGGGGGGGGGGGGCAAACACTGCGGGGTATGGAATGGTTTCTGCATTTAAATGTGACATTATTAAAATATCTAACAAATGGCGACGAGAATAATGGAAGATTTAGAAAAAATAGCAGAAGATGTAAATAAAGTTAGGAAATTGAAATCATTGCGAAGAACAGTCAAGTTTCAGCTTGGAAATGTAAAGAAGTATGTGGACATAGGAATATTTTCTATCAATGAAATCCAAACTAGACTTGATTTGTTAGCTGAGATTAAATCAAAGTATGACTTAATTCAATACAAGATCGACTTCTATACAGAAGAAGAAAATTTAGAAAATGAGCTGACTTGCAGAGAAAGTATTGAAAATATGCTGATTGATACAAAAGCGAGATTAATGAATACCCAATTCCGAGGATTGAAGACATTTTTTCTACAATGAGTGGAGGCAAATACTTTTGTTCTCTTGATATAAGCAATGCTTATTTACATATGAAAGTGGATGAAGAGAGTAGCAAAATGCAAACACTAAGTACTCATAAGGGGTTGTTCAAAGTAAATAGACTGATGTTTGGGGTTAAGGTTGCTCCATCACTGTGGCAAAAATTAATGGATTCCTTACTACAAGGTATGGATGGCGTACAATGTTTTTTCGACGGCATTTTAGTCCAGGGGTCAACTTACGAAGAAACTCTTCTGAGATTAGAGAAGGTATTAGAAATTCTACAGAAGCACAACTTACATTTGAATGGAGACAAATGTAAATCTTTTGAAAAAAAGTATCAAATACCTCGGGCACATTATTGATGAAAAAGGTCTACACAAAAGTCCTGAGAAAACTGTAGCAAAACGCTAGAAGACCTACTAATGTAAGTGAATTGAAGACATTTTTAGGCTTGGCCACGTACTACAGCAAATTTATACAAAACTACTCAACTAAAATATATCCTTTGACAAGATTACTTACAAAAAATGCTAAGTTCATCTGGAGCTCTGATTGTGAAAATAGCTTTCAAAAAGTCAAAGAAGAAATAACAAGTGAACAAATTTTAACTCATTTTGACCCCAATCTGACGGTTACTCTTGCAACAGACGCATCACCTGTAGGACTCGGAGCAGTTCTTTCTCACAGACTAGGAAATGGTACAGAAATACCTATTGCATTTGCATCACGCACTCTGACAAAAAGTGAAGTAAAATATAGTCAGATTGATAAAGAAGCAGCAGCTATTTATTTTGGACTAAAGAAATTCTTTCCATACATATATGGTCGAAAGTTTGTCTTGATTACCGATCATAAACCCCTTGTGTCCATATTCGATCCTCAAAAGACCATTACCTACTACCTACTACCTGCCATTACCTACTATGGCAGCGACCAGAATCTTCAATTACGCTCATTTTCTTTCAGGGTTTGAATATACAGTTGAATTTAGAGGAACAGAAAAACACGGCAATGCAGACTTTTTGTCGAGAATTCCACATGAAAAGTCGCTACCAAACTCAATTGATGATTATTCTGTCTTTCAAATCAACCAATTAGAAACACTCCCAGTAACAAAACAACAGATTACAGATGAATCACTGAAGGATGAACACCTTAAAACCATCATTCAACATTTAGAAGAAGGAAAGAGTCTTGAGAATCTTGGATACAATGATTATGAATTTACATTACAAGATGGATGTTTATTTAAAGGTAATAGAGTTGTCGTTCCACAAAATTTGAAATCAAAAGTACTTACAGAAATACATTTTGGTCACTTGGGAATAGTTAAAATGAAGGCTTTAGCAAGAAGCTACTGCTATTGGCAAAGCATTGATCATGATATTGAACATCTGGCTAAGACTTGTAAACAATGTTGTTTAAAACAAAACAAACCACCTCAAACGACTCCTCATCCATGGCAACCCCCTGATGGTCCCTGGCAAAGAATACATATAGATTTTGCTGGGCCTTGTTTTGGAAACAATTACTTTTTTATTGACGTTGACGCTTACTCAAAATGGGTCGAGGTATTTCAAACAAAAAATACTTCTTCTGATTGGTGTGTCACAAAATTAAGACAATTGTTTTCTACTTTTGGAATTCCATGTACTTTAGTTTCAGATAATGGCAGACAATTTTGTGGACATACTTTTGAAACATTTTTGAAAAACTATGGTGTGTTACACAAGACAAGCTCTCCATTCCACCCTTCTTCCAACGGTCAAGTGGAGAGATTTGTCCAAACTATAAAGAAAGGTCTACAAGCCATGAAAGATGAAGGAGGGGATATGGAAATAAAGTTACAAAGATTCTTGATGCAAATGAGACAATCAAGAAACTCCACTGGATCAAATTCTTATTTCCTAATGTTTCAGAGAAATGTGAGAACAAGACTAGATTTGATGATAACAAATAACATGCCTTCAAACAATGACTTTAAATGTGCAAAGGGAATAAGAGACTTCAAAAAGGGGGAAAAGAGTTCAAGCTTATGATTTCAGAGACAAGAAAAACAAGTGGATGTTTGGTAAAGTAAAGAGCAAGGATGGACAGTTAATTTACGTTCCTGAAATGGATGATGGATCTATATGGAGGCGGCATATCAACCACATGTTACCTTCCAAATTTAAGGGGGAGGATTGATGTGTCCATTCCAAATGTACTGGCTTATACTATAATTGTTTATTTACATATGTTCTGTTCATTTGTTATTGTTTATATGATGATTCAGTTACATAATAGAATCGTGATTAAATAAAATAAAATTGAGTTACTGCATTTAAATGTGACATTATTAAAATATCTAACAGAATCAGTTTACCAAATTTCAGTATTCTAGGTAAATGGGAAGTAGGAGAATTAGTGATGAGTGAGTCAGACAGTGGAGTCAGTGAGGGCTTTACATTTTATAGATTAAGATTAAAAAAAAAATTGTCTCTTATTTTACAGGAAAAGTACAGTGTTGATTTTTTGGAGAATATGAGACATAAAGAGAATGAAAGTTTCTTGATGGTACTTGCACCACCTGCTCCCCATGCCCCCTTCACCCCAGAAACAAAGTATAGAGGAAAATACAATGGAATCAAAGTCCCCCGAACACCAAACTTCAACACTCACAAACTCAAGGTAACCTTATCAATAAATAGAATCACCAGAAATTGTCTAAAGTCCTAATTAGTTGTGATAACTCCACAAATTTATCACAACAGCAATCCTTACAGTATAACTTTAAAACATAATGGATAGTGTAATTTAAATATCAGGAGACTTGTCTCTAGATGTAAGTTATTTTAATGAATGCTGGGAAATTTTAGTAAAATATATTTGTAGAAGAATTCCTACTGGTGAACTTTAATTCAATCAAAAATAATTTTGTTTAAATTGTCCATGTCACTAATTGATACTGTATACAACTATACAAATGTATATATACAAATTTTCTTTCAACCTTCATGGTATTTTCATTAAACACATGAAATATAAGGAAAAACCCTTATAATAAAAGTAAAAAAAGCAATAATAATTCCTTGCATTTATTTAGAGAGTCTCACTGTAGGCCTACTGTGACATATGTGAGTGAAAATTTAAAAACGTACGTTTTCATGTCCCTGGCCTTTTACTTCGTAGATACTGGATTTGTAGTTTATTATTATGTGTTATAATATTTTTTGGGACGGGGGCAACATGTTACACACATTTATTTGGTTTTAAATAGGTTCTAGGTACTTTTTTCGTATTTTTAAAGTCTCGAAATTCACGACCATGACGTGTCCCTAGGGCACATTTTCCAACTTTCACGCTGTTTTTAGACTAATTATTCATGCCGAAATATATAAAGCCATATTTTTATGTCATCAATGATTATTAAATTTACATAAAAGGGGCATATTATAATTTTATTGGCATTGCAAACTGACTACCATGACAAAATAAGTCTGTCCCTCGATTTGGCGTCACGACCATTTGGGAACAATTTTCAACTTTGGAGCACGACAGTGGCAAGCCTGGCGTCGATGGATTTAGTTGGTTTTAGAGACTAGTTCGGGGTGTATGTCAGGATTGTAGTGCCGGTCGTTTCGAGTTGAAAGGAGGAATTACAAGATTAATAAAGGAAAGATTGTGTTTTTTGTAATTTTGGTGTGTCCATGACCGTACGTAGTCATTCGATGTAGTAGACATGGTGTTATTTTTTGTTTATTAGATATTTCAATTGCTAGATTAACCTAGAAGTCCACTTTGTATCCTCGAACATGAGGTGCAGGGCTACTGCCAGAACACAGCCAAATAACACGTAATTTCACGACCAAAGTTTCACGACCATCGCGGGTTTTTTCACGACCAATCCAGCCTTATGGATTATAGTGTGTTTGGTCGTGACAATAACTTTAATATAATTGTAAATTGGACAGTTAAGTTCAATTGAAACACATATTTTTATTATAACTAACAGTATAATTGAAGGATTGTTTAGAAAGATTTAGATTATTCCAGACAATTCACGACCGTACCGCTTGTCCCTGACCATCACGTTTATGATTTGTATCATAAAAATTTCAAAAATTAAAATATCGTCATATTTCAAAGTTTTATACACAAAAAAAGCACACCTCTATACAAACATAATCATTTTTCGGGTCTCAGGTAAGTTTTTTTGGAGTTATACAAACTTAAAAAGATTTTATTGGCTTATTTTCAATTTTTTGAGTTTTTTTATTTTTTTCTAGAAAGACCAAATATGCCAAAAGCTCAGTGACCTTTTTATTGTATAATGGTCATAAAAGTAAATTAGTTTATAGCAAAACATAGTTATAAAAATAATATTAACCATTTTTAATATTCATTTAAACGTCCGTTATGGTCGTGACAGGATTTTGTGTTTTTCCACTAAAGATGCTCTTTAAAATAAAAACTACCAAAGATATTGCGTTACCATGGACATTTTATGAAACTTCAAATGTTAATAAAATAAAAAAAATAATAAAAGTTTTGAAAAAAGGGGAAAAAAATTTGCAAAGTGCTTTTCCTGAAAACGTACGTTTTTAAATTTTCACTCATGTACTCAGTTTACAAAACGCATAGCTTAACAATAAAACAACTAAGTTACAATAACACAATCATTGACAGTTTCTCAAATACAATTTTGGCTCCTCCCTTTAACAACCGTGTGGCCTAAGGGATAAGGCATCGGACTTCGGATCCGAAGATTGCAGGTTCGAATCCTGTCATGGTCGGTCAGAACTTTTTTCTGACAAAAATGTATTCCATAATTTTACAGTGACCTCATGTTTACTTACATATTTTGTTGAAGGAAATATCATTTCAATTTGACTTTTTAGCAAAATTTCCCCTATAGGGAAGAAGTTTTTGCTGTAGGGGGACGGTAATATCTAGACCCGGGACCAATTTACTAATCCATTTTGAGGTCAAAAACACTATTGGTTCAAATTTGTATACAGGTATATATAAGATTTTGATGAAATTTCACATAAATCGCTATTTTTATATAGCTATTATCACACAACTCCCATTTTCAACTAGCTCTTCTAATCCAGCCCTACAGGTATAGGGCTGGGCTTGAATCCAGCGAAATTGGGTCATGGGAAGGGTATAATTTTTTTTAAATTTGTTTTTACCAAATGTTTACCCTTAAAACATGGAAACGTCCAATTGTAATTCTAGCCATTATGTAGAGCTAAAAAACATACAATTTACCATAGCCTACTAAAATGTTGTACGGTACGCTTAATTGTTTAAGAGAAAATTAGAAAAAAACTGTACATTAAAAATTTTCATGTTAGTCTCATGTAGAAAAAGTAAACCGTCATGTAGTTGCTGGTTTATGGATGTGTTTTGATAAAATTTTGAAAATTAGTTTTTTATACCATTAACATTTGACAAAAACGGTTTTTCTTCTTTCTAACTCTATATATACAAATATATACATTTATATCTTTTTTTTAATAGGTTGGTGGCCTCTTTAAATCTTGGACTTTCCCATCCTCGTGGGACTCTAATGTGTGCTTGGAACATATCCAGCAAAACAAGTGTTATAGTCCAGTACAAAAATTGAACTGCATTGACAAAATGTACAGGCAGGTACATTGTGTCCACTGTCTTCAACGCTCTGAGCATGGTTATTTAGACCAAAAGGTGGATTGACCACATCCGTACCAACGTTGAGAATGGGGGATGTCCATGCCCGAACCTTTGTGTTGCCAAGCACCTTTTGTTGGTGAATATTCCAGTAACCAGTGTTCTGGTTCAGGCAGGACCAATTGACCCAGAGGTTTCAGTTAAGGAGACCTTGTTAAACAGAGATCTATGTTAATAGTATACATTTTATGTAGGCCTAGGTATGTCATGGAAAATTTTCATAATATTACTTGAATGTTATAATATGATTATTTGAATGTTGCAGAATCGTCACTGGCTGTTAAACATGGGAGTGGCACCATTGCCCAAAGAGACAGTGGCGAGGGTAGACAGCTACTACGCGCGGAGGTGGGAAACATTACTGTCCGTTGATGACATGGTGGCTTCTAACATCAATAAGCTAACAGACATCGGCCAACTGGATAACACTTACATCATCTACACCTCAGATCATGGGTATCATCTAGGTAACCTCACTGTTGTTTTACAATCCGAGTCTTTCATAAACCGGGGCGGTTCGAAAGGGGAAGCTAAAACCCCCTCCCATTGGACCCTGGAAGTAGAAATTCAAACATACATTTCTTTATAAAAAATGTAACTGCGGTTTTTGGACACAGTTCTAGACCTTAAAAATGGCTTTAAAAAGTCACTGAACGGCTTTAAAAATGGAAAATTTTCTGGGGAGGACCCACAAACTGTCCTCCTTGTTTGGAACACCTTGGTAGCTCCTCCACACTTGACAAGGTTCTAGAATTTCTAGATGACTTTTTCCACCTTATTTGTTCACAACAAAAATAAAAGTATGAATGAGAACTGTTTAACTATTAGGTCTAGTAGTAAGTTACAGGTTACAACTATAGCTTACCAAGGTTAGATGTAAAGTGACTCGGACCATAGTGAGTAGCGTTCCAAGTGATAAGTGCATAGAGTAAGTACTTGTTCTATTGCTGTGGCTTTATAGGCCTACACTATATGTACAACATCCTTCCCTCCAAGGATTTTTTCAAAAAACTCAAATTTCTTCTCTTTATGTCAATAAAAATATCTTCTAAAATTCAAATAAAAATATCTTCTAAAATTCAAATAAAAATATCTTCTAGAACTTCAAAAAACTGCTTCCGAAATTTCAATAAAAATATTTTCCACTCTTCAATCAAAATAATTTTTGCAAAACATAACTAAAAATAAACATCTTCTTCTACCTCATTTCTGTTTTAATGTTTGTAACGTTCGGGCGTTTTTATGAGACGTCCTGAACGAGTAGTCTTCATTTGGGCTCTTTCCGGTGTAACATGGTCTCTGATAGGTTCATTTACTTCAACAAGTTCTGTCGACTGGGAAAATGGAGTATCGTACATGAACAATGACTTTTTTGCTGTGTGGCTGCATTTAGGACTCGAACTTGGTTTTAGCATTTCTCTGTTTCTACGGTACAAACCTTCAGGTGTTTTAATAATGTAAGATCTTGAGGAAGGTTTTGACACAACTGTGCCCATCGCCCACTTGCTATTGGTTTGCTGTGGTTTAGTTTTTACCGCTACTCCTTGTCCAATTTCTAGATCAGGCAAATGTCTTGAACTCCTGTCATACTGGTACTTATACATCTGTTTTTTCTTGATCAACCTATCTCTCACTTGAGTCTGAACATATGGTTTGAAGAGCTCGCTTTTCATGGGAACTAAAGACCTTGTTCGACGTGACATTATCCGTTGAACGGGACTGCTGGCCACACCTTTACTTTCAGTGTTTCTCCACTCAAGAATGGCTAACCATATATCGATATCTTCTTCTTCTGCTTTGTCAAAAAGTCTCTTCAGTGTATTTTTTGCAATCTTGACAGTTGCTTCGGCTTTAGCATTACCTCTCGCATGATAGGGCGAAGATGTTACATGGGAAAATTCCCATTCTTTGGCAAACTTAGTCCAATCTTCACTTATAAAATTTTTTGCATTATCTGTAACCAGTGTTTTGGGGATTCCCCATCGGCTGAAGTTTTTCTTGGATATCTCAATCAATGTTGACGATGTTGTATCCTCTAGTTCGTCAAGTTCCCAAAAATCTGAATAGTAGTCAATTGTTACTAGGTAGTTTTTCCTTCTTAGCGTGAAAATGTCCATCGCTACACGCTGCCAGGGTAGATCAGGTACTTCATGTGTTTGCATTGGCATATGTGGTTGATTTGGAGAATTTAGTAGACAGGCTGAGCATTGTTCAATGTTTTGTTTAATATCTTCTGACATGCGGGGCCAGTATAGCGCCTCACGAGCTTTCCTTAGTGACGCATCCAGACCTGGATGACTTGAATGTATTCTCTTTAGCATCTCTTTTCTCATAGTGATAGGTACTACTAGCCTATTCCCTCTGAAGACGAGGCCGTCATGTGCCACAAGTTCATCACGGAAATTCCAATATTCCCTTAGCTGTGCGCTCACCTCTTCTTTACTCCTAGGCCACCCAGCAGTAATTACGGTTGTCAGGGCCCGCAGAGTTACATCCTGTGCTGTAAGATCTTTCATCTGTTTAAGACGTTCTGGTGTGACATTCAAATGTTGTGTTGAATCTATGTTTTCTAGTGCTTTGAAACACCTGTCTTCTTTTGTGATTTGATATACCTGATAAGTCTCAATGTCTTCTTGGTTCTTGATTGAGTCATGAGATACTGCTGCTCTTGATAAAGTGTCAGCAATTGTCATCTCTGAACCTTTCTTATACTCTAGTGTGAAATTGAATTTTTGTAGTTTCAAAAGCATACATTGTAGTCGTCGCGGTGCAGTCAGCAGAGATTTTTTAAAAATTGAAACCAAAGGCTGATGGTCAGTTTGTATGGTTACATCTTTTTTCCCATTGATGTAGTATTGAAATCGTTTACAAGCAAAGAGAATAGCTAAGCATTCCTTCTCAATCTGAGCATATCTTCTTTCTACAGTTGACAATGTCCGGGACGCAAATGCAATGGGCTGACCTGACTGCAAGATCGCTGCACCAAGACCGGTACTACTGGCATCACATTGAATAGTTACTGGCTCCTTCACATCAAAATATTTAAGAACTGGAGTTGACGTGATGCATTTCTTAACATTTTCAAACGACAGATCATGTGTTTTATCCCAAATCCATGGAACATCTTTCCGAGTAAGTTGCCTTAACGGTTCACATATTTCCGAAAGAGATGGCACAAATTTAGCCATATAATTTACAAATCCAAGGAATCGTTGAATATCTTTAATATTCTCAGGTTTCTTCATGTCTAGTATCGCCTTCACTTTGGTCATGTCAGTTTTAAGTCCATCTTGAGACAACACATGCCCCATAAAAGTTACTTCTTTTTCTCTCAGTCTCATCTTCTTCTTGTTGAGTTTTAAATTTGTTTCTCTAGCCCTAGCTAATAGTCTTTTTAACTTCTGGTCATGGTCCATTACAGCTTCCGTCTCAGAATCTCCACATCCGTAAACAAGGATGTCATCAGCGATAACCGCAATACCTTCGAGATCACAAACAACCTCGTGTAGTCTTCTTTGAAATTCTTCAGGAGCTGGGGCAAGCCCAAATGGAAGTCTTTTCCAACGATATCTTCCTTGGGGAGTCCAAAAAGTAGTAAGCCTACTCGATTCATCATCCAGCCTAACCTGCCAAAACCCATTTTTGGCATCCAAAACTGTAAAGACCTTTGCCCTTGCCAGTTCAGGCAATATATCATCTATGGTAGGCAATTGGTAATGTGGGCGCTGTAATGCACAATTTAAATTTCTAGGATCAAGGCAAATTCTCATTTTGTCATTTTTCATTACAACCACAATATTACTGATCCAATCTGTAGGATTTGTTTCTTTCACAATAATTCCCTGACTTTCTAGTTCATTAATTTTGTCCTTAAGTTTTTTTCTAAGTGGAATGGAGATCCTTCGTGGCGGATTCTTGACTGGCACTACACTCGGATCAACTTCTAGGTGATACACACCTGGAAGACAACCTAGACCGTTGAAGACATCTTCATATTCGGCAATGATATCTTCGGAATTACTAACTTGTTCAACTTTACATAGCTTAGCGTTAACTTGAATTATTCCGAGTTGTTCACATGCTTCTGCAGACAAGAGAGGTTTCTGGTAGGCCGATTCATTGACTATTTTAAAAGTTAATTTATGAAACTTATCATCATGAACAAGCTTAAGCTTTGCTTCACCAACGGGCTTAATGATTTTACCACTATAGCACTTCAACAAAGTGTCAGTTTCTCTGAGAACCATCCCATCAATCTTATTTAGGCCTACAGTAAGCTTCTCCAAATCATTCTTATGCATTATATTACAAGAGGCTCCAGTGTCGAGCTGACACTTCAAATAACAAACGTTATTACTACTATCTGTGCAAAAGGCAAGTTTAGTAAACCACTGTCCCTTACGACTAGTTGGATCATCCGATCTCGCTAGGTTAATACAATCTATTTTATATAGAGACTCTGAGCTACTCTCAACATCACTTTCAATCTGTTCTACAAGATGAACATTACGGTTAGAGTATTTATCATATTTATTCTTATATTTTGAATTAGGCCTATTAGTAGAAAAGGTGTTCCTACAACATTTAGCAAAATGATTTGGTTTTTTGCAATTGTCACAGACTTTCCCAAAAGCAGGACAAACATCCCTTTTAAATTCATGAGGTTTGTCACAAAACAAACATTTTCTTCTGGATTGACTGGATTTATTAAAAGAATTTGGAAGGGTCCTACCTTGTGAGCGATGTCTTCCACTAGTACCTTGCATCTTATGAACCTCTTCTTTAAAATCAACCTTCTCCTTGAAGTTGAGATGCTTCAGTTGTTCATCCGTAGCTTCATGTGCTCTGCAGTGGTCAATAGCTGTAGCTAAGGTCAATTTTGGGTCGGACAACAATTTTTTCCTTAGTCCCAAGTCCTGTACTCCTAAAACTAGACGGTCTCGAATTAATTCCTGTTCCAAAGATTGGTACTGACAAGTTGAGCTGAGTTGTCTAAGTCTACAAATATATTGTTCAATTTTCTCATTCGGTTCCTGATTGGCAGAGCCAAAAACAAATCTTTCATAAATCACATTTTTTTCAGGTTCAAAATATTTATCAAAACCTGCAAGGATATCACTGACTTTAGCTTTTTGAGTTTTGTTTAAGTCAAGTGTTGTGAAAATTTTCAAACAGTCTTTACCAATAACTGACAATAGAGTAGCAACTTTAATACTCTCATCTTTTTCCTCTAGTCCTGTTGCAACACTATAATTTCCAAACTGAAGTTTAAAAAACTTCCAATTCTCTACAACATCTCCTTTGATCTCTACCGGCAAAGGCGGCGGTAGATGCATACTGACAGACGAGACAACTCGCTCTCCATCTGTAGACTTGCTATCAGAACCAGTCATCTTCAAATGACATAAAATAATTTAGACATGTACACATAAAATCAATGAAATTGCATAAAATATGGATAGTATCGAAAATAAAAGACATAGGCTATTATACAATAATTTTCTTCTCAGCTTGACCAAGTTAGGCCTAGGCCAAAGTAACTCAACCAATAGGCCTACAGTACGTAGACGCAACAGTGTCCAGCACTTGACTTATTGCCTGTCTAGGCCTACAAAATACTTCTCAGACAGTGTTAGTACTAACAGGTCATTGGCCTACGTTGGAACGCAGTTAGGTTTGGCTCATCCATAGACTAAGTTACCTAACTTTTTCTTTTTTCAAGTAGGCCTATGTAGAATACAGACTATTAAGTGATAAATTGATGAAAATTTGCAACTTCAGTAGTTTCTAAATGATAGGCCTAGTCAGATACAATTTGAAATTCATGTAGGCTATAAAATATTGTTCACTCAAGATGGGTAGGCCTAGCCTAGAACATTGATAAAATAGGCTAATTTTAAAATATTATTTCCAACAACTACTTCAATAAAATCTTCACTCTTCAATTCAGCAGATTTATATAGTAGCCATGTACTGTTATTAAATACTTACAGTAAATATGAGTTTTATAGACGTAATGAACAAATTGCACAATTGAACTTTCAGGTTTGTGCATGAACTTGCAACTTTCCTTCTCAAACCTGCAGCTTACAGCTTTGCAATTTACCACGTTGCAACATCTTGGAAAATAAAATAAAATGCAAAACTTGTACTTGAATATGATTAATTGAAACTAAATATCTCCACTCTTGATAATGTGGGTTTTCTTCCGACTGTAATTCTCAAAACTTGAAAATATATTGCAACTGTTCAAAACCTAGAGTTATATCGTCAATCAAACGTAGAGCTCTCATTGACTCTAATGCTCATCAATAGCATTGATACATTTGATATTACATATTAAAACTGAAATACTTCACTCACGCACAATGAAAATAAAACTTCAAACTTCTTGATTTTGATCTAAAATCATCAATTCAATTTGTAAAAAAGGCATGGTAATCCGGTACCATAGCTGCCACCATGTTTAACTATTAGGTCTAGTAGTAAGTTACAGGTTACAACTATAGCTTACCAAGGTTAGATGTAAAGTGACTCGGACCATAGTGAGTAGCGTTCCAAGTGATAAGTGCATAGAGTAAGTACTTGTTCTATTGCTGTGGCTTTATAGGCCTACACTATATGTACAACAAGAACAATTTAATTGTTTTAAATAGTCAAGGTTTGAATACTGGATGTTTTTTACTGTGACACTATTTATATGCAATTGTGCATGAAATAAATAAAGAACTTTTGATTTGATATCAGACATTGTTTATGCTATCAACCTCTGTTTTGTAAAGAAGTATGCAAGTATCATGAGACTGTCCATTTACACCTTTAAAATTCTATCTCCAGGTTATTTCTCCATCAGTTAATCAATACCACTAAAGGTATATTACAATTTAAATAAATGAAAGCCACTTGTCAAATAGTTACCTTCCCTAAACTGTTTTTAAGTGGGGGCTGGGGACATATTGTGAGAGAATTTTTTCATTGTTTGACATTCAACAAAATTCTGTAGTCCAAATTCCATGCAGGGCTTAAAAAAATGGAAACAAACCTTGTGAATTCAAGTCAACCGATGTTTTAGGCAGCTGTACATTTTAATATTGCATTTGTTCGATTTCTTGCAGGTCAATTTTCACTGCCATGGGACAAGAGACAACCTTATGAAACAGATATTCGTGTGCCACTACTACTACGGGGGCCTGGGGTGCGGGGGAAGAGTCTTGTGGAGGGGGTGGTAGTCAATGTAGATATTGCTCCAACTATACTGGCCATGGCAGGGCTCCAGCCCCCAACATACATGGATGGACGCTCCTTTCTGTCCATGGCCACATCCGTTGAGCCCTTGCCTCCGAGACGGGCATTTCTCATAGAGTACGTGGGAGAAGGAGACTTAAAAACCGTCTCTTCATCCTGCCACTTTGCAGATGCCTACACCCTGTCTGTAAGAAGCTTACATTCAAATCAGTGTCTGTATGTGGGTTCAATTTCAACACTTTGGCTGTAGTTTTTGTTTGATACTGTTAATTAGTTCCATAACAAATTTTTACTGGACTAATTATTGATCCCTAAACAGTTACAGACATTTCAATAATCCCATAAAATACATAGTTTTCTTATTTTATAACTTTCTGCCATTTTGAAGTGCGACCATTTTTGAAATAATGGATTCAATATTTTTTTATGTTTTTAATGGTCATTTTAGAATGTAGATGCCATTTTAAGACTTATTTACTCCAAGCATTTTCTCTTCAAACTTACTCGTATAGGAGCTACATGGCACAGTATGTACACCGCAAGTCATGTTTTCTTAGTTTTAACACACTGTTACTTCTAAATGAGTAGCTTTAGAGAAAAAAATACCAAGAATAAAAACGTTTTTAAATGGCATTAACTTTATAGAAAAATCATAAAATATAGGGTCTTCCATAAGAAAAATCAAAGTTCGCAGCCATATTGGAAAAATGGCAGCTAAAACTATTTTTTCAACTTGACTAAAGTTTTTAAAATAAAAAATCCAAGGCAGTTACAATTTAACATTTTTCTCTTATAACTTTAGAATAAAACAGCTGGCACACTTATACCAAGCACACTGTATATATTAAAAGTTAAATATTGAGCAGCGAAATTATATTTTGAAACTCTGTGCTCCGCTTCACCCACATAAAACCGATCATCGATCGTTCACCATTTTAATTTTCTTATAACTACACAATGAACTATCATATACACCATTAGACATCATATACACCATGAACCATCATATACACTATGAATTATCAATAGGTACACTATAATCCCTCATATACACAATGAACCATTATATGCACCATGAACCACCCATCATATACACCATGAACCATCATATACACTATGAATTATCAATAGGTATACTATAATCCCTCATATACACAATGAACCATCATATGCACCATGAACCACCCATCATATACACCAAGAACTATCATAAACAACTTTAAACACAACATGATTTGATGTTTCAGGAATGCTCTCCCTCCTCTTCATGTAAATGTCAAGATGCTCTAAATAACACTTACAATTGTGTTCGTAGTATTGCTCATGATGAAAATTACATTTACTGTGAGTTCTATAAAGAGGTACGTATTTAGCAGTTGCTTCTTTCATAGATGATATTTCATATTTTGTGTATTTTCCTAATTCATATTCAAGTTTTCCAGACTTAAGAAATAGATCTAAATTCATCACATGATAAAACTCCTCTTTTCAATTTTATTACAGAATCGATTAGGCCTACACAATTTTAATTTCTGCTATGTGTTGATTTACATTTTTTCCCCGGAATAAAGAGTATAAGTTTTATGTGTATCTAGGAGCACTGCTGTCCCTGGCTGGTAGGCTAGGCTAGATGTCGGGACTGTAGAAGAGAGAACTGACATCACTAATCAAATAAACAAGGGACATTTTTTTTATCAGTTATTTTCGATAACAGCTGATATCAAAGAAAGTAGTTTTTCTCCAAGCTCTAATTTAGAGCGAGGGAAAAACGAACAGCTGGTTTTCCCTCTCTCTAAACTTACTTTCCCTCGCTCTCGATTAGTTATCCATTTACCCACTATGTTTATTTTAATTATTTAAATCAGCTGTTTTCATTGTTGCACAATCTAAATGTATTCAGAAACTGGCATTAGTTTGTTTTTGCTTTTTTTAGCATAGTGTGTGTTTGAAATTGCTCAAAATTTATTTAATATTTCTGATGATTTGATAAAGCTTTAGAGATAATAAATAACCTTCCACCAAAGAATTCACGAGAAAGATGTGAAGAGGAATACTAGTTAAAGTAAGTGACGAAGTATTGATTTACATTTATCTGAGAAATCTATAAACATGAAACCATATACGTTGTAAAGAAAATTTTCAATTATAAAGATTGGTCTAAAACTAAAATTAAGAACAAGAAGTGGGTATTTCAAAACTTTAAAAACTTATAAAAATATGACTGATTGTCGCCAACAATGAAAACAGCACAGTAAACATAATCTTGAAATTCTCATTTTTATTAAAATCCATATTTTTTAGCCCCTGAGCTGATCTTGTGACTAGTCAATAAATAAGATTACCTTCGTCAATCAGCTCATAGAAGTTGTAACATTGTTACGGCCGTTTCAGCATATCCATGCCATCATCAGACGTTCAGCCTTAGTGGCGTCGTTAATATACAAAAACACAAACTGTCACACGCGACGTACACATACATAAACATAAACGGGGGTTTTTGACTAAACAGGCCTGTTGATTACACATATTCGCACAAGAGCAAGTAGCTGACTGGAGTCATTCTTGCAGTGTCGTGTCAGCAGCGGCATTATCATTTGTACTTTGCCCTCTTGGTCTTGAATCCTTCCTCTGATTTAAAATACTATTGAAAATTACGTGTGATTTGAATTGTAGTTTGTCATTTGAAATAAGTTCGCTATTGTCATTTTTTGTATGTGCTTTGTAAATTTCAAATTCTTCCAGGGTGTCCAATTTATTGCCTTTTGTACATGTGTGAAGGATTTCCAAGCCAGTGTTGAGGTCATTTAGGTCATGATTATTGTCCATTAGATGTTGGGCAAATGTAGACTTTTGTTTGTCAGCTTTCGGTTTCGGATGATGCTTCTTATATCTAGTTTTAAAAGTGCGCCCCGTTTTTCCTACATAAACACTAGGACAACTAGCACATTTAATCTAGTCGAATTTTTAAGTTATCATACAGGTTTGCTATTAAACATTTGATTTTTTTTATATTTTTTAAAAACTGTTAGTTGAGAATTTTAATAGTTGCAATATTACTAAGGTTTGTTATTCTGTATGTGTGTATTTTTCGCCATGATGAAAAGTATCATTTATAAGTCATGCAGAAAGTGATTTTCATAAGTGATTTCATAAGTGATTTTCCGGCACTTGTTCAATTATTCCAATCCTCAGCTTAACCTTGTGCATGAAAATAACTCTCTCATGCTCGGCTTTGTTTTCCTCTTTGGTTTTCCTGTGAAACTTAAGTGTATGCTGGAAAATTCCACTTTCAGTCCTAGTAATGAAACTTACTATTTTTAATGGCAGCACTTCTCAATTCTAACAGATTGTAATGCAACGTTTTTATTTTCTGAGTGAGAGTTCTGAGTAAGGTCTTCATTCTGGATTTTAGTAAACTACAAGGTAGAACAAGTCATCAGTTATCTTTGTTCTAAGCTTGGCTTGGAACCACTCTCACACTCATCTATAATCTGCCAAAAATGTAAAAAAACTTTGCAAATAATAAGCTCATTATGATGTTTCACTTTCAGGTTGGATACTTGAAAGAGTTTTATGACATCAACCAAGACCCTTACCAGATGGAAAATATTTACCAAGAACTCCAACAAACTGTTAAAAATAAGCTAAAAGAAGAAATATTGCAACATACAACATGCAATGGCCGGTCATGTTGTAAATAAGGAATTTAAGTTTTTTGTCTGATGAATTTTATAAGTGGAAATGATTTCCATAATGTAATAATTAAGATTACTGTACTGCCACTATTGCTATCTTGTAGCCTAGAAATAATATTTTTTATTCAACAAATAAACTATTTTATTTTTAATTTTTAAAGCTACAACAGGGTTATTTTATTCCAATACCCAACGCTTTTGACAAAACACTCCATGTTGCCGATTCAAATTAGATGGTTTGGATCAAATATGATTGAGAAAGTAAACTATTTTCATGTTTAATAACTAGTTCTGGTTAAAAAAAAGGAACTTTAAATTTACAATTTTAATAATTGTCAGAGCAATATAATCAGGTGTTCTATTAAATTTGGTTTTTTATTTATGTAAAAACTGCAATAGATAGAAAGCTGCAGTTTGCAGGAATCGTCTATTGACGTTTGGTCCTAATTGCTGTGAATTAAACATTAAGTTTCCATTCACCTTTAACTTAAAACATTTAAATTGCAAGGTATCCTTTGTGACATTTCAAATGAAAAGGCATGAACAAAATTTTTTAAATCGGGTTATAAATTTGTGAGATATTTTCACGATCTGTAAATTTTACTGTTAGCTGTGGTTTGTGGTTTACTTCAAGAAAAACAATTAATAATGAAAAGTCAGTTGAAACGTACAACATTTAACAGAAAGTGTTTACAGCATGATGTATTTAAAGTAATAATTAATATTTGAAAACCTATCATATTTTGGCTTACCTAGTATGACGATGGGTCCCATTTTCCCATCGTCGGGACTAATCACTCATCATAATTCCCCGACTGTGGCACCCTGTTCCCCGTGTTTGGAGAGAGGTGGCAGCACTGGGTTAGAGACAGGGCAGTCAGTCAAGAGGCAGTGTGGTTGTTGCGTGGTCGAGAGTCGGAGGTGACGGACGAGTGCGGGACCCGGCACGGGGACTACGGAGGAGGAAGATGTCATCCTGAGACTACATCAACCCCCAGAGGAGAGCAGAGGGAGAGAGGACGATGGGCGAGACGACAGGAAGAGGACCTATCTGTCGCGTAGGCTGAGGGCAGTCAGATTTTGTACTTAGGGCAGAACAAGGGAGGACGAGCGTCAGGGACCAAGTAACAGTAAAGATGAATGTTAAGGTAAGCCTAGTGTATTTATTCTGAGCTACACCACCCCCCCCCCCCCCCCCCACCGTTACTACCCCTTTGGACGAGGGGTACGTAACACTAAAGAAAGTTTTCAAGATGTTTACCATTTTTCGCCATACAATCAATGATAAAGTTCTCAAACTCATCCCTCACTTTTTGGAATGTTTCTCTTTCTTCTCGAAGAGCTGTTACATTAAATTTCTGAGATCAACTAAATCAACGGGTAGGGTTTAGTACACTACGGTTTTAAATGCCCCCACAAAAAAGAAATCCAATGGCATAAGATCTGGTGATATTGCGGGCCACTCAATTGAACCCCTGGGTCCCATTTATCGGTCAGTAAAATGCAGATTCAACCAGTCTCTTACGTTCGTTTGGTAGTGAGGGGGTGCTCCATCTTGTTGAAAGTAAACAGCATTCTCATCATGCTCCATCTCGCCATGCTCATTTACTGTATTCTCAATTATATCCACGATAAGAGGTTTGATCTCTTGTTTCAAGTTTAGATATTTGTCTCCTTTCAAATTGTCTTCGAAGAACAAAGGACCAACAATGGTGTCTCCATAAATCCCTGCCCAAACGTTTAACTTTAGTGGCCACTGGGAATGTCCTTTAGTAAATGCTTGAGGGTTAGTGTCACGTCAGTAGTGTTTGTTAACAAAACTGTTAAGGAAAAAAGAGCACTCATCTGAAAAGCATATACTCTTCTTCACTGATATTTCGTTATTTTGTTATCATTTGTTTGCAAAATTGTAACCTCCTATCCGAATTAATATTGTGCAACTCGTGTAAAATCTGAACTTTATAGGGAGGAAATTTATGCATTATGGTTACTTTACATACATAACTAACTGATAACCCAGTTTCATATGCAACTTTGCTGAGAGATATTGACAGATTTGCTGTAAAGTGACCCAAATCTTCAATTTGATTTAGCTCATCAAGAACTCGTACACCACTTCTCTGAATGTTACCTACTTATCCTGTTTCATGAAATTTACAAACTAATTGTTCTACATACTGATGAGAAATATTTTGGTTTGGATACTGCTCTTTGAAAACTCTTGCTGTGGATATTGTACTCTAGTTCTGAGAACCAAAACTAAAAACAATTTTCATACGTTCCTGCAATTTTTACCCCATAACTCCACAACCAATTAAAAAATAATTACATATAATAATAGTGTCTCCATATACCTACCCTCCAAGTGTCTCTAGTTTTGGTCTTAATGTTTGCCCATTTATTGCGCAATCATAGGGTTTTATTAAAATGTATCTTAGAAACTTAAAAACAATGTAAAGTATACTGTTTTATATATCATTTTGTTTGGAAAATTATGGGCTTCAATGTAACATACAAAACATTACTAAAAAAAATGTTCAACAATTTTTGTGGGGTTAACATTTCTTAAAAATTATAAAATAAATGAAAAAATTTATGTTTGCGCTCAATACATTGTTATAATTTACAAGTCTAAAAATATATCTAAAAATAGCCACTTTGTTCAGAATTTTATGAGGATTCCAAAAATATAATAATATAAGGAAGTACGTTTGCAAATAAATAAGTTATGGGCAAAAAACAGATTTCGGTACATAGCGTTTAGCTAAGAATGCATAGCTAGGAATCTGGCTGATAATTTTCATCAATATCACTACCTACTTCTTCAGGATCATCAACCAGCCCTTCAAAATCACTAAAATCTTCTTATAATGCACCACGTATATCACTACTTTTGATTTTTAACACTAAAACAATGATAAACGTAATAAAACACATCAGTCATCGGTGCGAGGTTAACCAAGCTGTTTACAAATACGCACGTCAGCTGTCTGCTACAATATTTTCGGAACTAAAATGAAAAGCGTATAGAAACAGACATTAGGAGAAAGCTCTGAATCTGCTGAAAAAAACAATACCTAACTCGATCCAGTTCAATCCGATTCAGTCAGTCCCAGAGCCGTCGCCGTAAACAGTGTTTGTGAGTCGCAAAAGCGACACATAACACTACAGCGGATGTGTTATGAGTCGCTTTTACGACACATAACACTCGGAGGGTTAACATTAAGTGAATAGTTACTTAAACACCACAAGAATGCCAAATAATTCCTCTGACGTTGGCCCGTGAATGAGCCTGGGTAACTAAGGTTACTTGGAAATTCCAAGAAACCTCAACAAACAAGAGTGAAAGTTAATTCTTACCTATATTCTTAATGCTATTGTTATCTAAGTCCACATTCTGGTAGGTATGCCACTTTAAAAATTACCGATTACATTGTTATCTTATTAATGCTTATTCAGATGAATTTGTTAAGTGCATTAAGTTACTAGGGGTGCAAATAGATTGTAACTTAACTTGGAATAGCCAAATAGATTTAGTTTGCAGTAAATTGTCAAAAATTGTATATTTGTTAAAAACTTTAAAATTTTACGTTCCTGTTACTTATTTATTGTCTGTTTATTATGCTTTGTTTCATTCTTTGTTAGACTATGGTATTATTATTGTATGGGGAAACTCTGGCAGGATAACTGATGTTTTGTTGTTGCAAAAGAAAGCTATTAGGATAGTAACAAACTCAAAGAAAAAAGCTCACTGTAAACCTCTTTTTACTGAAACTGGTGTTATGACTGTTATCTGTTTGTAAATTTTTAGGTTATTGTTATTTATAAAATCAAATGAATCAAGTCTTGTTTTTAATAATGACATCCATTCCTATAACACTAGAAGTAGTAGAAATGTTCATATTGATCAAGCTAGGTTAGCTAAAACTTTAAGAAGCCATTCATGTGTAGGTGTTAGACTTTTTAACCATTTGAATTTAGATATAAGATGTTTGCCTTTTCCTAGTTTTAAAAAAGCCATTCACCTTTTGCTAGTCAACAATCCTTCCTACTGTATTAAGGAGTATTATGAAAGATGTTTGAATCTGTGATACTGTTAATTGTTTTTGTAGGTAGCTGTGTTATTGTTATTCATATAGGCTAAATCTGTGATATTTAATTTTATTATTTTAATAATTGTACTTGACAAGGTCGTATGCACTGTAAATTTTGTGTTCTTAGACCAATAAATCTCTTGTCTCTTGAATGATACATTTTACTTCAACAATTTATAATAATTTAAAATAAAACAGAGTTTTAATAAACCATTTAAGTAAATACAGTCATTAATAATGGCAATAATGTAATATTGAAGCGATCATTGTAAGTATTAGTTACAAATCGTGAAATATCTCACAAATTTATAATTTTATTTCAAAAGTTCTTTCACCAAAAATTTTTTTTTTTCATGACCTTTCATTTCATATTTCAAAAGGGGTACCTTGCAACTGAAAATTTTTAAGTTAAGGGTAGGGGGAGGAAGGGTGTAACAGTTTGACTAATTTGACCAACTGCCAACAAGTTTGCTCCAGACTAGCTCAATGGGCGGGGTGCGATGTGTCTTAGGCCAGTGAGGTGTTACACTACGATGGATAGTATTTAATTGAAAGGGCGCCACCTTGTGATATGGGCAAGTTGTCTGTCGATTGTCACAAGGAACCAATCTCCCAGTAGTGTTGCCTATAGTTGTGGTAAGCAGGGTAAACCTAACATCTGTGATGTCAATTGACCATACTCTACATTGACTTGAGTTGCCCTAACCATTTACCTAATCGATAAATACCTAAATTTAATTGTCACCAAAATCACTCAAAATACTTAAGAACTAGTGTAGCTATAAATATTTGCTATACTGTACTAATTTGACCCCAAATAGAAACTAACTGGAATATCAAATAAAAATCCAAATATGTATGATAAGCTCTATTTATCTCAAGATAAGCATGCCCTGATAACAAATCAAGTTGAAATCACACAGTTAAATGAGCAAATGTAGGCTAATTGAAATCTATTATCAGTTTCAAAGTAAATAGGATAGCAGTACTTCAGAATTAAATTTTACTAATTAATAGTCAGTACTCAATAATCCAAAATAATCGATATTCAATATTCAAAATCAATAAACAAGATCAGTAATCAATAGTCAAGAACCATTAATCAATATTCAAAGATAATCAAAATTAATAATCTACAAACAATAATCAATAATCGGCACTCACTAATCAATATTAATCAATTTACCATAATCATCAAAATTCAATAATCAAAATCAATATCCAGCAATAATTAATAAGTAACCCTTAATCAATAATCAATCAAACAGAATCCATCTTAAATCTACAAAATGGTACATAATGACGGTGGCCACCGGAACACCTATAACAGACAACATACAAAGCACAAAATATTACAATATACAAATATACAAATAAATCCGTAGGTCCTGGATGTCCCACGACGATACACTAGCCACTGTCCAAGTGTCCGTTGCACAGGAGATAAATAATTGTAAAGTCACTCACCAAATTTAGACTTCATACACAGTGTGCAAAAGGCAAAAGATATCCGGCCGGTGTCTGAGGCAAACGTATTGTCCAACAGTTGAGTGAGCAAGATAGGTAGGCTGTGAGCGGCAGGTTGGTACGTGAGCGGCAGGTCGGTACGTGAGCGGCAGGTCGGTACGGGAGCGGCTGACACCAAGGCGGCGTCCAGAGATGTCCAAACAGTAGCCTCTCGTAGTAGTGACAATTCCGGTAGCAGTGGGTCGGTATAAAAAACCCTGTGTGTACACAGTAAATTAATAGTACGTGCCTTAATAACACTATTTTTTTTCTGAGGAAAATTCCTAACACAAAAATTTATGTACGGTGAGAACTTTAGTTAACTGTGACAAATAATTATCTTTCTAGCAAATGCGTAGAACAAATTAGCAAAATTATCTTTTAAAATCTCAAACGTAAACACATTATTTAAACTGCAGATATTTACATTTTTAAACCGAATAGGCCACATAAACTCATGAACAGATTTTTAACTATAAAACATTTGGCAATAAAATAATGGCTACTGAATTACAAGTGTTTTTACTAACATTAAAAAGGCAAAATAATTAGATACTAAATGAATGATTTTGTTTTCAAATACAGCTATGTTAAACGATTTTACCTGAAACTAACAATTTATAAACACACAAATACAGTACAACATTTAAACCTTTAAAACATATTTGAAACATTTAAATTCAGAATTTACTAGTTTAAGATTACAAACATTTATTTTTGCAACGTCTAGTACTTCCATGAATGTAACAAATTTTCCACAAAACCAGTCAAGCTACTTTTCAATCTAACAAGGTCAAATCAAGGGCTCTGAACTTCAAGTTTAACCTCCTAAAGCAAAGAATTATTTATTTGGTTTTCTCATTTTAACTGAATATAACACACAGTTGATCGGTAGTTAATATTAGCCTAATGGTGTTTACCTAAACGTTTGGTGAATTTTTATAACTAATAAACTATTTTTAACTTTTGCTTTAAGAACAAATACTCAACACAATATTCATGAAACCAGTTTGCATAGACATGAAATGAATATTTTACACCTTAAATGAATATTTTACATTAGAAAGATCCAAGACATTAAACTCAAATTTAGCCTACACAGAACAACGAAATTTACAGTTAAACAATATTCTACAATAACATTTATAAATTAACTACGGAATTTATTACATTTATTCTACACAATTTGATCCCTAACATGTTAAAACGTACGGCCAATCGACATTGATTTAATTAACATCCTAACTAGTTAATTGGAAATTTGATTTAGTGAAACAACTTTTGTCCAACAAAACAGCTAATTAATTTTTCTCCCTGCTTACCTCAGAATATTCCAAAATGGGAATCCAAGAAAATCCACCGGTGTAGGTGCTCTGAGGGTCCTTGACGATGTTGGCTCTGCTTCTCCTCTACTAACCGCTTCGTCGTTAACGAGCGTTCACATGTGCTCCTCCACTCCAGTACAGACATGATCTCAATCAGCTGTTTGGCAAATGACCGATCGATAGCGCTGTCCACGCTGAGCCCAATACATTTGTGGACTTTATTTAGTGCCTTCAGGGCAGAGTTGGCAATTTTCTGTCAGTTCTGTTTATGGTCATCCAAACATTGAAGGCGCGCGTCACTTCAATTATATTGTCATTAGTGAGGTGATCAGTCTCACTAGGATTTGGGTTCAAAACAAGAAACTAACGTTACAAGGGGGTAGATGGGAAGTTAACGTTAATTCACAGAAATTAGGACCCCAACCTCAATAGACGATTCCCGCAAACTGCAGACTTCATTATATTATCGTTTTTCAATAAATAAAGAAGAAAGTAAAAAAAAAAAAAATTTTATTAGAAATTTTTTTAAAAATGTTTATTCCTGTATGCATTTATGTATAGTATTTATGTATAGTCATGTATTCAATACTGGACTATACAACTCAACTATAAAATTCTCTGTACAGTCCAGAATTTCTTATGACAAGCTAGGATAATAATGTAACTACACAATAATAACAACACCATAATTATGTAATTAGAAAATATTTTATTATAAAAAAAAACAAATAACATATAGATATAACAATACTCTACACCCTGACATCATATTTTCATAAACATTAATTTAGTCAATTGGCATTCGGATGATAGGAGTTCTACTTCAGTACTTAAAATACATTCCTTGTGCCTAACAGTTATGTTTTAAAACTATGATTCAATTGGTTATACAGTACTATCAAAATAAAAGTTCTGACTTAAAAAGTAGAAATAGTTTTATAGTAGAAGTACATTTTTTAAAGGAATCCAAACCCTGGTCTTGTTACTACTAACGCAAACTTTTTGTTACATAGCATCAGCAATTGATGATGATTGATGACTGATCAATTTATCAATGACTAATGATATCTGGGTCCATGATCAACCCAGTGGGGTCCAACCAGGAACTTTCATATTTGAAGGCAAGCACTATAACCTATCAGCTTTACTGGAGCAGGACCATCACTATTCAATGACCTTATGGCACAGTTAAAATAATACTCCGAAATTCAGTAACTATTTCATGTTCTCAACCAATCTAAGAACCAATAAAGGGATATTTGTTGCAGTGAAATATGCAATGTGACACGATGATGAACCCAAATAAATTTTACCAACAATACGATAGTATATTTATTTATTGATGGGAGCTAATTTTTGGAAAAATTTGCGGACAAGTTTACAAGTGTGTAAAATGTGCTACTCATCCTTGGCTCCTGGTTCTCTTTACTCTAGGGATAAAAGAGGTACTACAGCTATGCAACAGGACATATAGAAAACAGCCGTTTACATAACAATATATTTAAAGATATCTAAATATAATTTTCACTATTGATTTGAATGCTAAAAATGAGTACAAATTATAACAAACACTACATACAATGTTGTTAATCTTTCAGTTGTGATGTGTACATAATCACAGTTACAGCAAACATAGGATGCATACATTTTGGCCACTGTGACAGACCAGGCTCCCTATTTTTGAAATGGTTGACAGTTGACTCTACAGTCAACACTCAACTCAACCAACAACAGGATTTGGTATTTTTGAAATCCAACAGTTTGGAAGTGAGTTGGAAATCACTAGTTGAGTGACTCGTTTTGGAAATGTAGAGCATACGACCGCCCGAAATTCAGATGACGTCATTTTAAACCAATCACAATGCAGAGTTTTTGTGATCATCGATTTTACCTCTTCTTACTCTAAAATCTGGATCAGCTAATCTCAATCTACCATATTTCGAGATACTGAGGTAAACTGTCAACGTGTCAACTCCGTTCTTGAGAGATTGAGTGAGGTTATGTCTTGCTTTAATCTTAGTGATTGCAGAAGTACCTTATATAAACTTATAAGTATTAACAATAAAATTTACTATGGATGTTTGTTTGTTTTATGGTGTAGCTCATTATAAGTTTAGGCATATCCTAAATACATTATTATTTGCTTTCTTCGTATCTATTTAAGAACACATCACCTTATTTTAGTTTTCTTCATCGTTTTGTTTCATGTTATTTTTAATTGTGTTTTTATTTAGGTTAAAGCTTATGGCTATTTGCTAAGACATTGACAACAAATGAAATACATAACCTCTAAATCGCAATTAGTAAATTAAAGCAATAACAAAACAATATGGCGTCGACTCAAAAAGAGTAATTTTTTGCCGAAAGAGAGGAAGAAGAAAGTGCAGTCAACCTCCACTCAACAGCTCGATAGGTGTTGAGTAGTTTTGGTTGTATAAGTCCACCGTCAATCGTTTCAAAAATACGAAACGATTGGAAATAGAATGACTCGACACTCAACTCAACAGTCAACCATTTCAAAAATAGGGCCCCAGAGCACGAAGAATTACTCTTTGAACCCTAGGATAAATTGATTTGATTAATTATACAATGTTTCTCCTCATGAATACAACAATCATACTTCTCATTAAAAAAATGTTTCTGGTGGACACAGGATTGGTTGAAAATAGTAAAACGCCTGATCAAAGGATTCACAATAGACCTGACAGATACAAGAACCTAAATCAGCTGTTGAGGTTGAAAGTTAAATATGTAAACGTTCAATGTGAATAAAAACAAATTAAAACAAACCTAAACACATCTCTTTAAGATACATTGTTTATTCAAGCAAATAAAACATATGATAAGAATAATGCACAGTTTTTATCTTAACATTTTAAAATTTAAAACCTTTGACAACAAGCATATACGTTTTTACACAATTAAAATAAAATGCAATTTCTCTTGACATCAAAACATAATGGGTATTGAATAATATATTAGGTTATTTATGATTAAGTTTAATACATGAGGTAAAATATTGACTAGGCTAAAAAGTTAAGGGTAGGCTATACAATAATGATGAATAACTTAAAATAAAACCTCTTGAAGCATGCATTTAATATACAGAATCATATTTCAGATCCCAACAGTTGAAATGTCCCTAATTTGTTGATCACAGTAAATTTGGCTTATGCTAGTTGTTTATGATGAAGATGTAATGTAATCGTTGTCGAGGACCATCGGACTAAGAATACTGACACAGTTCCAGAACTTCCATTACGGATACCAGCAATTTGCTAACGATAAGAAAATTTTATTACTTTTGTGCAATCCTACACCATTGTCAAAAAGATAATATAATTTAAACACAAAGGCTGAATACGCTTAAAATAAAATACATGGCAAACACTTAAAACTAAGATAATGAGCGTATGATATCAGAACTAATATTCTGAAGAGTAACAATCATGATTGAATAACAGTTGCATTGATACATCAGTCGAAGTTTAGAGGCTTGGGGCTAGCCAATTGAGAAACTTCATGGCAAACTCAAACCCGATAAAACAGGCAGCGTTGGCAGGGAAGGCACGAATCATGACAGGGGTGCAGCCCTTGTATAGAGCCGTGACGCCTTCTTCCCGGATCAATTGACGAAACACATCACGTAACCCCCCAGGGTACGCGCCTTCTGGGGCTGCAAGAGCAAACAAAGTTTGGAAGTAAGACAACAAAAAGTGGATGATTGTAAACAAAATATAGAGCAGTGATAGAGAGTGAATAAAAATTGTTTTACGATAAGCAAAACATTATATTTGGCCATTGTTAAAAATGGTAGATGAGCATAACTGCAGCTTGAAGCAAGAAACCATTTGCAGACTGATGGAAGCTACAAATTATCACACTAACTCTTCAAACTAGAATGAAAATTCTTACTTGCGTTGACTTCATTTTAATGGGAAAAACAATTTCAGGCTAAAGTTCTTAAGAAGTACAGTATCTATATACAAATATATTTTTAATTGTTTTTTAATTATATGTATGGAAATGTAGTACTGGGAATTGTTCACCACAAAACAAAAATGGTTAAAGGGTGAATATATAATTTTTGTATTAAATAAACACAGTAATAATTTAAATCATAAACCTAGAAATTAAATAAGAGCATTGAGCTTGAAACTGAGTAATTTTTTTAATATAATCTCCAGCTTTATAGATGAACCATGGGAGTTAAAGCACTAAAATTTTCCCACAACCATTGGATAGTAGTAATATATATACAGTAAACACAAATATTTTAACTAGGATTAAATTATATTAAGCAAGACGTACTGTTTTCACTTAGATTAATGAGTATTACGGTAAACCCGAATAATTGAATTCCAAAAATGTGCTGATTAATCCAGATAGTATTGAAACCAGATAAAATTGAACTATCTCAATGTGAAGAATTGCAGCTCTATTCCGGGATTGTTTGGGTATCCCTTGTATATAATGAATCTTAAAAAAAGCTCAAAGAGTATGGCTTTGATTTTAAAATACAAACAGTGGTGATGTACTAAAATGTATGTAGGGCCTACAGTATAAGGTATTGAGTGGAATACATATATTTCACCTTACTTATGTCCATTTTGTACTTACTAATGTTATGTTTTACGAGCTGCAACGGGTCAAAAATTAACTGGGGGTAATATCTCACGGTCATCCCAAATACGTTGATTTGTTTCACGAAAAGGCCGCATTAACGTTGGACTTAGTGACGCCAGATGGAGGGGATGACAGTAGTTCTCAACTCCGATGCAAGGGGGGGGGGGTAGGAGAGTACCACTCAAGAAGCGCCCAGAGCAGTCAGTCGTTCTTTAGCCGTCAACTTAACTTAACACGAACCCCAACGCAACAATATCTGGCGATCGGTTAAAGTTAGATACGAATGACTCAGGCGATTGACCGATGTTGGGTGAAATGTGAATAAATAGATCCTAATAGATGTAGGATGAAATGAATCAATCTTAATTAGGCTACTAAATTTTGAATATTGAAATTTAGTATCTTGTTAAAAAAGTGCAAAACAATGTTAAAATTACTGTCACAGACCTTAATTTAGCGCTTAATGCCTGGTTAATTTAGCGCTGAAGCGATGTTTGGTTTGGGGTACCGCACCTGATTTGAAGCACTGGACAATGGCGGCGTCAACGAGGAGTGTCCATGTACATGTTGAACTACTATTGCACTATTTCATAAATCATTGTCCGTTTGATTAACAAAAAGTAATTTCTTATTGAAATAAATAAAATAGGTGTCACTTCTACTTAGCCTACTGTAGAGACTAATTAAATTGAAATGGAATATGAAGATTGAAATCAAAAGTTGCGGGAAGATGAAAAAATGGTGCGGATAGAAGATAGAAGTATTGTTGGGAAGAGTGGCTGAATAGAGGAAAATATTACTTGGGCTAAGTTATTGTTTGAAACGGAGAAATATAAATAAGGAATTATTTTATTTAAAATCATGAAACTTAAATATATCCAACTACCCAGTTATTATTATAACACGTTTTACTTTGGCGTTAACCAAGTACGATGAACGATTTTCGTTTTATTAAGCCTCGTAGAACTATTCCATTATATTCTTAATTTGCGTGGCATTTTGATTCAAAATTCGATCTCAATGCATATTTCGAGTGGCTATGATGATCACTTGTTAAAGGTAAGCTAATACAGTTATTAGCATTGTTGTAATTATGATCTTATAATCAAATTTTAAGGTGTGACTAATTTTGGGTGAGACATTACTAACACGTATTCACAAAGGCGACGTTATTATCTTTTGTTGTGTTCTCAAACAAACTTTTACGTCACATTGTATGGCAAGCCAAACAGGGGCGTACACATCTTACTACGATATTATATTTAATTTTGTCTCCTACCCCGAAATTACGGTACAGAGTTACAACGGTAACAGCTCGTATGCCTAACCCTCTCTCTGCTCGCAACATTGTACTGAAACAATAACTATCGCACCCTACTACATAACACGCTACGCAACAAACTGCGTATTTTACAGTGACACATTCATAACATAGCTATATGACAATTTTGTAAACAGTTGTCAAGTAGTTGTCCAGATCAAACAAAGTTGTATCATAGTGGTCTGGATTAATGAATAGAATGTTTGCTGTAGTAATGTAAAAAAGATGTAAAATACCCCTCTGTTAATCGTCTTACCAGTTTGCAGACGGCTTTTCAAAACATCAGCTGGTATGCCCACACCCCAGTTGCAAACACCGGCCATTCCACCGGCAAAGATTGTACGGAGCATTCCAAACTCTGTGGAGCCTTCGGGTTTCAACAACTCTTGAACCCATTCATAGGTCATGAAGTACATTCCACTTGCAGGCACATCTGAACAAAATTATAAATTACAGAACCCTGCAAGGCTAATACTAGCAGACCGGAGATGTGCTAACTGTGCATAGTTGGGGTGCAAACTAAATAATTACAACAACCGTTACACACTTTTTAACGACAAAACCAGTTTATATATGTTGTGTTGACATCCCTGTTTTTTTACTTCATTACTAATCAGATAATATGCATTTGTTGCAAAAATATCTCTGAGGTTTAGTGTTGGTGAGAATGAAATGTAAATAGGACACAATGTGGTGTTTTTGCAAGCTCAAATAGAGTATCTAGTGTACATCTAGGTTTTTTTTGTTTCTACAGATTCGATTTCCTTAAATTCTTGACATTTCTATGAATAGTTGATTTTATTAGTACTGAAATAACACATTGAAACTTAATTTTAAACTTATCCTGGCAAAAAAACCGATTATTTACTTTAAACAATACATACTCTTTGCTTTGAGCTTGCGAAAACACCATGATGAGTCTTATTCACATAAATTCCCAATAACTCTAAAACTCAAAGATAACTATGCAACAATGCATATTAGCTGATTGGCAATGAAGTAAAGAAAACACGGATACCAACATATGAGTTTGTTTTGTCTTTAAAATGTGTCTTACTTTAAAATGGTCTTATTAAATTATACTTGTAATTTGGTTTGCATTAAAAAAATATACCCTGGATCAAAAACTGTAAACAACTCAATCTTTTCTACGGAAAACATATTTTTACCATTTAAATAATATTTTTTGATAGAGATTAAGGGTGACGTGAATGTCAAGGTTATAATTACAATAAGAGATTTGTTTGAGAGGGGGGAAGGAAGGTGTCAACCCACAACTGAGATAACAGGGATGTGAGCTTCCTGCAGTGCCATTCAGCCCTATGTGGCAGTGCCATGAAGAACCTCTTGTTGATACCCGTGCTTGTGGCACTTGTAACATCATGTGTAAGTACCATTGTAGGATAAGTCTTAGGTTTGCTTACCATTTTATTATTACAAACCTAATATGAATCGGTGTATCATCAAAAATACATGAATAAGTACCAATGCGAATGAAAGTTTAAAGATAATTAAATAATTAATTATGACTACATAAACAAATAGGCTAGACTAAAACTATCATAAATTGCATGGATGAATTATCAACTATATTATACAACTAAATAGGGATTACAGGTTTTATAGTATGGTTTTAAAAACACCCTGATTTTTTTAGCAGTTTGTTAATCCATTATTGATTTTTTGTAATGTAGGCCTATTAGATTTTATAGACTTCTTATCATAAAGCTTAATTCCGATGTATTATAGGGTTTTATTCAAAATAAATGAGCCTGTGAATTGGATGACTTGGCATATTATATTTAAATTTTGTGTATTTTATGAGAAGGTGGCTGTAAATTAATCAAATAGTGTTTTATTAGAGTGAAAAATTAGAGTTTCATAAATGTACATACAGGATAAAGGCATGGTTTCCAATTCTTTAAAAAGGGGATGGCTACTACATCTATAGAAAAATGCTACTAAAACAGTATTTTTTAAAAATTAAATATTTTCCCCACAGCACTGAGTTAAAATATTATTGAAATCTTTACCACTTGAGAGAAAGCTAACAAAGGTTTGTGTTATGAACCCTAATACTATTTTCAGATTTCTCTCGCAAAAGAATTATAAAATTTAAAAGTATTTAATTAAACTAAACGAGATGTATAGTTATATTTAAAATTACATATTAGCATTGTAAACAAAAACTCAAAAAAGTAACAAAAATCAATTGAAATACAAACAATGAGTAATATCTACAACATAAGTGACTATGGTAAAAATGAACTGTAGTTCTAATGAAATGCTTCGAAATCAAACTTTTTAATACATGAAAACACCTATATGACTATATCAGTTCATGTAAATATAGGGGTCTAGTGGTCAGACATACATTTTCTAGCTACATATCATGTCACAACCCAGTGGGTTTGTAAACAAAAAATGATAGGCATTTCAGCCGGAAGAACATTTTCTTTATTGAAAAACTGACTCCACTAAAAGCCATGCAAGAGTAATAATATGATCAAGTAATTCAAACAAACCTCCAAAAAAACAACAATCAAACATATTTTATGCATTTTTAAACCACAGTTAAGACTTAGTTTATGAGGAGATAAAGTATATGTATGCCTACCTTAAAAATGACTACTCTAAATAAAATTATGTAAGTAAACAAGTTCAATCTTCAAGTGCACTGCCTTTTAAAATTATGTTTGAACTAACCTATATTAAGTATTTTAGCTGAATACTTTCTATGAGTTGCGGTTTTAGACGTATTAGAGTAGAATAGTTAGGAGGAGGAAATCAAAACACATTTACTGCTTGATTGTAATTTATATTGGCCAAGCAGAATTTTTATTACACTACCTAACTAAGTTTGACTACTTACTGGAAATTCACTATCGTACCTATTTAATTTATTTATTTATTGCATTACACGCCAGTGCATCATATAAATGACTAGACTTATTGGCAATGGTTGAATATAAGACTTAAAATTGAAATACATCTGTTTTCTCTCAAAAAACAACTAAACATTAGAAAAATATAATAGAGAAAAAAATCAAATCACCCTACAAAAAATTGAGCTAGATGGAATGGGTAAGTTCATTTATACCTAATTCCAGCAGCCCTCTTAACGCCAATGAATCAAAGATTGAACAGATTTTTTTAGGAAAAGTCAAAACTTTTAAGGATTTTTAGGGTAGAACGTCAATATTTATAATTTGTGAGCTTCAGGTTTAATATTTTTATTTCTGGAATAAAAAATATGTTTAGTTTGTTGGGCCTCCCTACAAGTGGACAGGTTTTTATGACCCCTACATGCTAGTTCCAAACATGTAGTGATTGTAAAAAGCTAGAACTTGAAATCTTTAGACGTTTAAACAGTTTTTTTTTTATTAGCGGTTCTCTGGGGAACTTTGTCAATAATTCATATTACTTTTTAAAATTTAAAAATCTTTTTTGAACGAGGAGAGTTACCACAAATCAAGGTAGTATGTGGCATTAATGATGAGAAATATGCATGATATATTATTAGTTGTGTTTTCAGGTTCGTTACTTGTAAGATGATTATTATAGAAAAATGCATGAGTTAAATTTGTTCCTTAAAATTTCAATTTGGGGTGCTCAGGTAAGATTTTTATTCCACAATTAATCCAAGGAGTATATTTTGTACTTGATGATTTGAGAGGATAATGAGGTTTGAATCTTCCCTGTAGTTAGCAATAAAGTTGATTATTTTGTGTTTTTTACATATTTTAGCGAATTTCCCATATAGAGAATAAGCTATTACCCAGGGCCGGATTTCCCAATAGGCCCGGTAGGCCCGGGCCTATGGGCGCAAGGTCCTAGAGGGCGCACGGCCGAGAGGAAATTTTTTTTATATCTAAAAATAAATAGTCATAGTTGATAAAAAAAAACTCTGCCTAATAATGCATTGTGATTCTGAGGTTCATAAGAAGAAATGATTGTTAGGAAATTTAAACAATTTTTCCGAATTACGCATCAATTTTGTTACAAAATTGGTAACGAACATTGGTTATACGGGAGTAGGCTGTATGGATGTTGACGTTGATGAGCGCCCAAAGGGTACGCATCGTATTGCCACTGCACTGCCACTCACTATGCTGGATCGGGCTCGGTACTACTGATCAGAGTGATTAGGGGCGCATGCGTGCTAGACATTGTTACCACCCTCACCTCACAAAACAAAAGTTAATAAGTAATCAAAATATATAATATGTTGTGTTGAATATTAAAACAACGATGAATTAACCTTTAAAATTTACAAAAAATATTAATCTGAGTTTGCATTAGATTTTAGGAAAATTCAATACCCTCCAAAGCATTAATGCTGTCATTTTCTCCTCAGACCTAAGGATCGGTATGGTTGGCCGGAATATTGCTCTGTTTTGCTTTGGAAATATAACCTAGACTATGCAGTACAACCATAGATTAAATATAACTCAAGTCGACTTCTTATGAAATTGTTAATTCAAAATTTTTTCATGTCTAGTTCATGTTGGTGACACTGGATGTTAGTTTTGACGTAATTTTGTTTCTATTATTTTAGGGTTAGTTCTATGTGTGTTTTAATTTCTTGTAGGCTACTATAAACAGGAGACAAACTATTGTTAATGATTAGATTGTTTTATTTTGGATAAACTAAGTTTAAAAATAGATAAAACATACTCCTTAAATAACAAGAATTGTTTTCAGCTAGGCTAATCCTAAATGATGACAAATCTACTAAAGGAGTATGTTTAATCTATGGTATCACGTACTGTATGGAGTTCATGTTTTTGGGCCTGGAATTGGAATCAATGGCCATTTTTTTTTGCAGGAATGCTCCGTGGGTTGAGTTGTTTTGTTTCAGTCCCATGGCCACAAACGTGAGCATTTATTAAAAGCATTAAATTTCTAAAAGTGTTTAAGACGGCATTTTGTTAAGACTAAACAAGTCAATTCTTAAAAAAAAACCTGCAATGATTCCGACGATGAGTGGTATTCAAGCAACTAACTTAGGCCTATGGGCATGATATAGTTTTTAATAAAGGTTTGAAGGAAAGTAACTGTGACCAGACTAGGGGGCGGAAAATTATTTGGGCCTAGGGGCGCAAAAATGCTAAATCCGGCCCTGCTATTACCGTAGTACTCATGGTAAGACCTGGACGCGGGACCGATTTTTTTTTCATTTTGTGGTCCCTAGAGGCCAAAAACACCATCCGTTCAAATTCATATATTTTTATATATTTATATATATATGTGTGTCCGTTAGCATGATAACTCGAGCAAAAATGATCCGATTTTGATGAAATTTGGTACAAATGTGTAAACCTACGTTTATTCAAACGAGTTTGCGATCCAGCATGATCGGACCATGGGAACGGGGGTTTACGGGGGGTTTTATGGGGTAAAAATAGGTTTTTCCCATTTTTGACCCAAAAAACATAAAATTTAGCAATTTCTTTCCAAACCATTTTGTAGAGCTTAAAAAAACAAATAATTTAGAATATTGAAGCGCTATTATGCGCCTAATGGTTACCGAGAAAATTCCAAAAAATTGTAAATTAAAATTCCCATGTTATTCTTATGGAGAATAAAGTAAACTGTTGTAGTTTGCTTGTTTATGGACATATTTTGATCAAATTTGGAAAATGTTTTTATTTCTTACTAACTATTAACATTTTACAAAAAAAAAAACAGTTTTACCCTCCCTGATGCAGAAAAACCTAAGTACTTGTTAAAACTAATTCTATTTAAATCGGGAATAAATGTTATTTTTTAAATAGACATTTCAGTGTAAATTCAATCAGTCAAATGGAAATTCGCTTAGTCTGCAGGTTTGCTGCGGCAGGGGTATTTTTATATTTACAACAGAAAAATGAATGAAATGAAATGAAATGAAATGAAATGAAATGAAAATGATTTATTTAGTCAGGCAAAGTTAGGGCCACATGGCCCTCTCTTACACTTAACCTGTTTATACAAATCTAAACATACAAATAAAACAAAACAATGTACAATACAAATAAAATACTATAATCTATTTACAATGTACTAAAAATGTACACTATGAAAGTGATAGAAATGTTGTTTATGTTAGCAAGGTTTTTTAAATAGGTATGCACCAATATCAACTTGCGGCGTTTTCAAGGTTATTTTTCTCACGTATACGTTGTGAGCGCCTAACCATGAAGTCGCCCGAATGTATTTATCTAACTGGGTTCAGATGAATGTGAGATGAATGGTCAATGTTTTTTTGTTTACATGTGCCATAAACAAAAAATATGGTTAGCAAGGTATGCATTTTTTTATTTTTAGAAATAAAAGAAATTGTTTTGAACTTAAGGTCTTACAATACATACAGCGTAAAAATTTGTATAATCAAGTTTTTTTTG